GTCCTCGTCCTCGGCCTCCTGTGGAATGCTTGAGACTGACTGGTTCCTTGAAGTAGCATTTAGATAAGACTCACACGTTTGTTGGGCCGGGCCGGGGGGAAGAGTGTGGTGAGCACACCCCGAACTTGCCGGAGAGACTCCGGCTGCACCGTCACCGTCGTGCCATCACGATTCGTGATGGTCAAACAAAGTCGCAACATCCGTTTGCTATCTGATCACCGACTCTAGGACTGACTTGGGAGAAGCCGGCTCTCAGACTTCCTTCAATCATTATTGTGGTTGAAGCGTTGAGATTGGGAGCGGCACGCTCATCTAGACCAACACAGCACAATAGCCTATCAACCCAAGAAGTCAAGGACCACCTCCAGACCCATGACCACAACAAACACATTAAAGCTTTTCCATTTCGGCGACTGAAACGACTACGTTCTGAGCCAGGCCACGTCAACCAGCCTACGGCATTTGGTCCAATGTCAACCAGTCTGCTGATGTCGATATCATGGGCCTATTGCCGATGACTACAGTCCGTAGCACCTATGTTTGAGCTTATGAAAGGTCGGGACCTCGACAGAGGGTTGAGGTTGGTCAGATGTAAACAACATACTTTGACGGAAGAGGAGAAGATAAACCAGGTGAAAACAGCAGAAGAGAAGAAGACAGGAGAGAGGGGGAGATAAGGGGATAGGGAACGGAGTATTCCAGAAGGAAGGAAGACCGAAAAGAAACACCAGGTCGTTCTAGCTTGAGAAAGGTCTACGAGAAAGGCTCAGCGAGGGCTGGGAGGAAGGCTGATGAAATCGAAGAATATCTGAGGGAAGAAAAGGAGGAATGGAAGAAAGCATGAGAAGTCACACCAAAGACGATTTTCAGCGCGTCACACCTTGCACAACAACGGTTGCACAGACGATGGAGCTGCACGGCTGCAACACCACTACTTGTGCGAAAAGCAGCTCGAGCGCTCAGCGATATATGGCCATTGTTCTTTGGCCATTTTGCGAGGGAAAACAATTCTTCTCGGGTATCCTGTCCGCCGCTCAAGCCCATCGACGGTCCAGCTCAAAACTCTTCCACAAACAATCCCGCTGGAGCTGAAGAACTGAACAACATGAATCTTGTCGCTACGTAATGCTGTCACCAATCAGCCGAATATTCTCGATCGTGGGCCCCCAGCAACGAGTAATTGCACCCATCCAGGACGCATCAAACAGTCTGCAATGAGCCAACCTATTCCAAGTTGGTATTGCAACCGTGAAGTACATGGAAAGAATCTAATGAGTGCACAGAGTGAATCGAGTTACACGCTAACTAGATAACGAACCTGCCTCTACACCAGAGCACCATGCAATTCCATCACACCTTTGCCATCGATCGGAAACATATTTCTTTGACCACAATCTGTTGCGACCTTCTCAGAAGCTCGGCTCCGAGGGATCAAACACCATGACCGTGGAGGCAGCGTGAAGCATGACCACGCATATAACCCAACGGTATCCGCGACCTGCTGAAGTGAGTCCTTCTGTTAAGATCCTGGACGCACTTGGCTATTTTGAAGAGTGCTGACCGCCTGTTGTAGCAATTTTCACAGACTTCGAATACTCTACTTGACACACTCGGCCAAAGACGTGACCCATGATTACTATGACGTCGAAAATTGACACTAGGAATGGTATCACAGTTGGATCACTTATTGGGTTGTGGTTGAAATTCATCATTCTGGATAATTTGGTTGATCTTGGCGGTTTAGGAAGCTCTGCTGCCTTTCTCCTGGCCTCTCCTTTAGTTTTTATGTACCTAGATAGATATATATGATTCACGTCATTCAAGTGATCGTGATCTTCCAGTTTCTGCCATATATGTGCAGGTCTATGTTTTACTCGCCAAGAGATCTACAGAACCCGCATCTCTAATCTTCTCCCGGCCTTGTCACCGTTCTCGCAAGTGCCCTCAGCAGTATTGGAGCCAAGAGCCACGTCAGACTTTGCAGAATGCCCTTAACAACAATATGCTAAGCTTTCAGACATCATCGAGACTCATCCGCTCCCGGAGAAGTCGAACATAGCTGAACACGGATCTCGTTGCCGTTGGGACTTGTCGCTCTTGCGACCCGCCGTCTGACTAAGAAAGCCTGGGTTCGCGGTGCTCGGTGGCAGACAACGGCACCGACCAGCATGACCTGTCCGTCCGCGGAGTCGAGTTTGATGCCTAATCAAGAAGTTGAGCTGCCGCAAGTAAGTACCACCATCTATCACGAAGTCGGGAGCGATGCGACTCCGTGGTGAAGATTGTAAGTCCGCGATATTGCGCCGTAGGCCGAGGCCTCTGACCAGGCTTGGCTAGAAAAGGCGGCTTGAACTGCAATACACAGAACTCATTGGTGGCTAAGGATTGTCGTTCATGAGGATTCTCTGATCGTTGCATCTAAAGCCTTCCAAGGTTGACTTCTGAAAACATTATAATCCTAAGATACCACTTCTGCATACTCAAGCTACAACAGGTTATATCAGATTCGCTAACGCGGAGCTGTCAATAATTCGGCCTCCGTAGCTCAATCGGTAGAGCGTTTGACTGTGAGCAGTCCCTCTAACCCGAACAACCTGTACGAAAAAAATCTAACTTGTCCTTAGCTTAATCAAAAGGTTGCGGGTTCGACCCCCGCCGGGGGCTCAATTCCCTCGGCCTCTCCTTAGTGAGAGACCAATAACCCAAAGTTTTTTTTTCCCCCTCATTTTTTTTTTCAGGAGAACCAATCCATTCTAACTCCTCACAGCGGTAGACTGTCAGACTGTGAGCAATCCCTGTGTCCTATATAAGAAAACCCTACTAATAACCCCTTAGCTTAATCTGAAGGTCGCGGGTTTCTGATGCTCCTGTTCCAGACAGGTACACGACCGATTTTTTTTTATCTCCCCCCCTTTTTGGACTTTTTCTCTCCCCAACCTATGGCCTGCACACCTGAGCGGGGATCTGGAACCTGTGTGGTAGATACACAGCCAGGCACAGCTGCCGCACAAGCTCAATCTCACCGACGAAGAAGGAGATTCCTAATGACGAGATTCGTCTTTTATATTGGATTGATATAAGCCCATTAAAGAGACATTCAGAGGGCTCTCTCTTAGCATTAGCAAAGGAATGCCATTAAACCGCTCTGCCTTTGCTCTCTGTCTGTCCTTCCTAATGATGCGAATGGCATACCTGCTGCTATTGCTAAGTTGATGTTTCTCAATCTACGCGCAGCTTACTACCAACCATTACGGGTGCCGCGTTGGTAGACTTCCTGCTCAGGCCGAACGATGCCACGAAAATATTCCAACGCAAGACGAGCTTGAGGTTGAAACCCTGGAGCGGCCCTCTATAATATTGATGGCGCTGTGGTTGACGGAGATAGAGGAGTAGGCTGTCGAGCATGTTTTGTAAAACCACAAGAGTGATGCCACTATCTAAAAGTATCTTTTTAAAATCAAACCATCAAGTCTGATTTAAGATATTTAGCTTATTTATAATAACACTTTTGTCCCAGCTAGCTATACATTAGATTTTATTATTAACTAAATACTTGATAGGAGAAAGTATGATTAAGAGACGGCTGCTAAGACACGTCGCCTGTCAAGAATGCAAACGAATGTCCCCGGGGACCTTTTGTCTGGGCCCCTGCGAAATAAGAGACACACTACTGTACCATACACACACTCCCATTCTCGATGTAGCACAGCTATGCCGGTCTAGACTCAAAGGGTTAGTCAGGTTGGAGGGGTTACAGAAAACACCAAATCTCTAGGTCTAGTCAGATATGACTGAATCCTTCTGGATTCGAAGTTCAATTGTCGTCTCGACTTCAAGGTTGAATCTGTATTTCATTTCCATTGAGATTGGGAGCAGGTTACCGCTGTAGAGACTATCCCAGCGGGTTGTCTGAAGAGGGCAAGCCGGGGGGATCATGCTGTTGCGTGGGGGAGCAAGCATCTGATCAGTTGTGTTACCACAGCAGAGTCTCGAAAGGCTCATGGCTTGTTTAGCCACCATGCATGATCCAAGTAAGGGGGCTTGAGACTCCATGCTGGCTGTTTTCAACTTTTGCCCGTGGATGGCCGTTCCTGGACCCCTTCCGGATGAAGGGTCGCGGCGAGACCGTTATCCTTGTCATGGTCTGTTGCACAGAGCAAGGGCAGAGATGATTGAGGTTTGAAGAGTCTACCTGTCTAGCGACCTAGCTTTTGCCATGTGCTCTACCTAATTGCTGTCCAGATAGGTGACTAGTGGTGTTTCGAGTGTATGTGGCTCCTGTTTGCCATTCATCTTCGGCAACTCCAGGCTCCTGAGAGAGAGGCAGACTTCAACCAAGCAAGTCATAGACACGGGTCTAAAACTGTGTGCAGACATCACAATGAGAAAGACACTCTTCTGACTGGTCCCTTTTCTATGATGGATGGAGTTTCTTTGTTGGATCTCTCTTCTGGCTGTCTGGTTGGCTCCTGAGAGTCTGAGACTGGACCCCAACCCTACAAGGCCAATGGATTTGATGGCGGGGCAGTCCTAGTCCTGGACTCCTGACAGTTCAGGGCAGCCAGCGTAGGGATGTGTGTGTGTGTGTGTGTGGAGTAGGATGCGGATGGGAATATCAAATAATTAGTTACTTACTTAGCACACACGCGCACAAGTGGGCAGCAAGTTTGTTAAGGCCAAAATTTTTAGCTTGGCCCGTTCCTCCCCGCCGCCCGCCCGTCGTCGTAGTAATAATTAATTAGTAGGTAGCAAGCAAAAGCAGGCACGAAGCACAAGCACAAGCACCTGCCTCTGCCTCTGCCTTACCTTTTCTCTGCCTTACCTTACCTTATCCCACTTATCTTACCTGACCCAGGCTAAGGATTTTACGCACAGCATTATTTCTGCCTCCTCGACCTGGCCTTGATCTCGACCTTGACCCGACAAGACCCTTCCGCACCCCGATCGTATCGTGCAAATCCTCCCTTGATGCGCCAGTTCCCCTAGAATCCGCCTTCAAGATGGATGCCGCCAGCATACGCAGTTGCATTGTCGCAACTCTCGATGCCGACGCCGATGTCCGCAGGCGCGCAGAGCTCCAGCTCAAGCAGGTATGTTGTGTTGTATGGTGTTGTGCTGTGTCGTCGGGTCTTTCTCATTCCTCCTACTCTCAATGCTCCATCACCATCACCATCTATCTCCATCCCGCCCGCCGGCCTCGTGGCCCTACCCACCACCACCAGCACCAACACCACACACATCCCAACTTGCCTAATGGCTTCACACAACCCCTTCTCTCCTTTGACTGACATGTCCAATTCCAGGCCGAAGAACATGCAGGCTTCACCGACGTCCTCCTTGAAATCCTGCAGAACGAGCCCGAAACAAACCTGCGGCTTTCGAGTATGCCTCCCCCGCGCGGCCTGCCAGCCCACCAAACACCCCTCCCCTCTCATGACCCATCATGCATCGTACTCACGCGTCTTCTAGCTGTCATTTACCTCAAAAACCGCGTCAACAAGGCATGGACCAAGTCAGAACAATACCCCAACGAGTCGGTGATACCCGAGGACGAGAAGTCGAGAGTTCGAGACCGCCTCCTGCCCATCTTGGCTGCTGCTCCCCCTTTGATCCGCCAGCAGCTCATCCCCATCCTGCAGAGAATTCTGCACTGGGACTTTCCTGATAGATGGCCGAGCTTCATGGACTTTACTGTCCAGCTTCTCAACACAAATGACCCACAATCCGTCCTCGCCGGCTTGCAATGTCTGCTCGCCATCTGTCGCGCGTACCGATTCAAGACTTCGGATGGGGATAACAGGACACACTTTGATAAGATCATCGAGGCGAGCTTTCCCCGACTTCTGGCTGTCTGCAACGAGCTAGTTCAGCAGGAGAGCGATGACGCCGGAGAAATGCTGCACATTGCTCTCAAGGCATACAAACATGCTACTTGGGTTAGGACTATTTTTTGTGGCAAGATGATAAGTCCGTTGGCTAACAAAAATTACAACAGCTTGATCTTTCCGCATTCCTCCGAGACCAGCAGAACAATATTGGCTGGTGTTCCGTGTTCCTCCAGACCGTCTCAAAAACCATCCCCGCGAGTGCCATGCAGGAGGAGGATCCCCCAGAGCGAGAAAGGCATCACTGGTGGAAGGCCAAGAAGTGGGCTTACTTCAACCTGAATCGCCTCTACATCCGGTACGACCACTGTCTTCGCGAGAGGATTTTGCGAGAGCTAACACAAAGACTGGTAGACACGGAAACCCACAAGCTATCACCGGCAAGAACAACGAGCCAGAGATGGCTTTTGCAAAACATTTCTCCGCCAACATTGCCCCAGAAATTCTGAAGCACTACCTGGTTGAGATCGAGAAATGGGTTGGCAAGTCTATTTGGCTGAGCAGACCGTGTCTTTCGTACACCATAGTTTTCCTCGACGAGTGTGTACGGCCCAAGGAGATGTGGGCGCACCTGAAGCCGCACATGGCCAATCTTGTCACCCACTTCATCTTCCCCGTCCTTTGCCTGTCTGAAGAGGATGTCGAGAAATTCGAGGATGAGCCTGAGGAGTATCTGCACCGGAAACTAAACTTCTACGAGGAGGTGTCAGCACCTGACGTCTCAGCGACCAACTTCCTCGTCACATTGACCAAGGCAAGGAGAAAACAGGTTTTTGAGATCCTGCAATTCATCAATACCGTGGTGAACGAGTACGAGCAAGCGCCAGATGACAAGAAGAATCACATCGCCAAGGAAGGCGCTCTGCGAATGATAGGCACACTTGCGCCCGTCATCCTTGGGAAGAAGTCGCCCATCGCTGACCAGGTCGAGTATTTCCTGGTCCGATACGTTTTCCCCGACTTCACAAACCCCCAGGGTTTCCTCCGCGCTCGAGCTTGCGACACAATCGAGAAGTTTGAGCAGCTTAATTTCAAGGAGCAAAACAACCTGCTGACGATCTACCGCCACATCTTGGACTGCATGGCAGATCCAGCCCTGCCTGTTCGTGTAACAGCGGCACTGGCCCTTCAGCCACTGATCCGCCACGACATCATTCGCACTAGCATGCAGCAGAGTATCCCGACGATCATGCAGCAACTCTTGAAACTGGCCAATGAGGCCGATATTGACGCCCTCGCCAACGTTATGGAGGACTTTGTTGAAGTCTTTGCGACCGAGCTGACGCCATTCGCTGTTGCGCTTAGCGAGCAATTGCGCGATACCTACCTTAGAATTGTTCGCGAGCTGTTGGAGAAGAACGAGAAGCGCGATGGTGACGATGAGTATGGTGACTTCCTCGACGACAAGAGCATCACCGCCCTTGGTGTTCTACAAACAATCGGCACGTTGATTTTGACGCTTGAGAGTACCCCTGACGTTTTGCTGCACATTGAGGCTGTTTTGATGCCTGTCATTCAAGTCACTCTCGAGAACAAGCTTTACGGTTTGTCTATTTGATGCTTACCAATTCATATTATGATGCTGATTGATCCAGATTTGTATAACGAAGTGTTTGAGATCATTGACAGCTGCACCTTCGCGGCTAAAGCGATTTCACCAACCATGTGGCAAGCCTTTGAGCTCATCCACGCGACCTTCAAGTCTGGCGCTGAACTGTACCTTGAGGATATGCTTCCCGCTCTTGATAACTTTGTGCAGTATGGATCTAGCCACCTCATTCAGAAGCCAGAATATGTCGAGGCACTCTACTCGATGGTATCAGACATGTTCACCGACTCCAAGGTTGGCGGTGTGGACAGGATCTGCGCTTGTAAGCTGGCCGAAGCGATGATGCTTAGCTTGCCGAATCACATCGACCAGTGCGTCAACGGGTTCATCAACATGGCTATGGGCGTGCTCAGCACCCAGGACGTCAAAATCAAGTCCTACAAGATTCATCTGATGGAGATGGTTATCAACTCCATCTACTACAACCCTATCCTAGCTCTGCAAATCCTTGAATCTAAGGGCTGGACAAATAAGTTCTTCAGCTTGTGGTTTGGCAGCATGGACTCTTTCACCAGAGTTCACGACAAGAAGCTTTGCATTGTAGCCATTGTTTCGCTTCTCGGCATCAATGCCGACCAGGTCCCGGCTAGTGTCTCTGTTGGTTGGCCTCGTCTGCTCCAGGTGAGTCTCATCAGCCCTCCACTAGAAAAAAACATGTACTGACAGGTCACACCCAGGGCATCACCATCCTGTTCAGGACGCTTCCTGCTGCGCTGAAGAGTAAGTTTCGACCCCACAAGTCTTTTGACGTCTATTCCTGACTTTTCTACAGACCGCGAAGAGGCATTGAAGGACGACTTCCAACTTGAGGCAGGTAGCTATGACTATGATGACGATGATGAGTGGGGTGAAGATGAGTCCACCTGGAACGCCGAAGAGAACCCACAAGAAGAGGAGGAGCCCACAGATGTCAAAGATGAGAGCACAGCATATCTCGAGTTCTTGAACGAAGAGGTGAGTTATTCAAAAAATTACGAGGATGGAGCTTCCCTCGCTTGTCGTCTTAGTGGTGCGGCGCAAGCTAACAGATGAGCAGGCTCAAAAGTTTGGTCATATCAATGATCAGGAGTCTGACGATGAGCTCGGCGAGCATAGCGTGCTCTTGGAGTCTCCTTTGGATAAGGTTGAGCCGTATCAGACTTTCAGGGCGTCACTGATGTGTATGTTGCCATTATTTTTATTTTATTTTTTTGAGCTTTAAACATCCAGCTAACGTGTTGAAGCACTACAACGTGATCAGCCTCAGTTCTACTCCTCGCTCGCCTCTCACCTTACCGCAGAGGAGCAGACCATCATTCAGTCGGTCATCCAACAGGCGGAGGCGCAACAACTTGTTGCCCAGGCACAAGCACAGCAGGCTGCCGCTGGTGGTGCGCCGGCGGTCAATGGAGGCGCCAGCTAGGCGATGTTCCACCCCATAGCCGCTTGAGACCACCAACGTCGCGTGTCATCGAGCTCCCCACAGACGATATGAGGAGGCGCCGCGGAGCGCGTTGCGTAGCGCTGGGTGCGATGACAATTTTGGAGACTAATGCGTTGTGAAAGAGAGGAAGAAGGGGAGAAGAAGGAGGAGATCGCAGCGCGCGCAGAAACGAGAAGGTAATGTTCCAGAATACCTTTGCTGTGCCAAGTGGCACAGCGAACGGCTGGACACCAAGCTGCCTTGTAAGAAAGATCTGTCAGAACTAGTGAGATGGCGCTCTTTTGTGGGAAGAGAAGAAGTGGATGGGGGATGATCTTCATGTGGGATGATTTACGGAACGCTTCTTGCTCAAAAACAAAATCCCCGTCCCCATCGTCATCATCGTCGTCGTCATTCGTCATTCGCGTCATCAAGAACAGCAGCCATTATTACACCATCCCGACCTAAACCCCCTTCTTCTGGAGTTCATCATTCCCCCAACCCGATCGAAATTCGTTACGCGATGAAATGTCTGTGAGAGATGAGGAGAGTGTGAGGGAGAGGGGTGAAGAGTGAGAAAGGGGAAAAGAAGAGAAAAGAGTTTAGACACGTGCAAACACTACCATTACCACTACCACAACCACAACACAAGAGACACAAATTACACCCCCATGACACGCTCTTCCATATGTTGACCAATGACGACTTCCATCATCTAGGGCAGGCAGATAGGAACAGAGAGGCGTTTAGTTAGCATGTTAGCATGTTACCATGCACATTGTGGGCAATGCTTTGTGTGACGATTCGTTATAAACCCTAACAGACGACCGGCTGCGAAACTCGCAAGATAGGGGTGAGATATGTGGATGCCAAGACTAGGGGTGGAGGTAAACATATGTAATCCGATCGAAACTGATCATCAAATTGACCTTCAATGAGGACTCGTAACTCAATCAGGGCTTGGCCTTGAACTTGTTACGATCTTCTCTTCCCCCTACGCTCTTCTGCAACTTAATGAGATGCAAGGGATCGTCACCTTGCAGCTGGAGCAGCGAGCACCGCGCGACAGCCGGTTTGGTGGGAGTGTTTTCCTCCCCCCAGCCGACAAGTTTTGATACCGTCCCCTTCTTTCCCATCGGGGAAGACATAGATAACAAACGGCTATTTTTGACGGCGTCCAGATGAAGTTATATGAAACGCCTGAGTGCCCCTGTGGACGGCGGTTTATTGTGGTTAAAGAGGCTGAATGGGCATCCTTACCCCTTTTGTGGGGCGCGGCTCGTGGGCGGGCTGAGCTGAGCAGACGAGAACAGAGCAGATGGCTGATCGTGGGGTGAGTTCAGTGAGTGAGTGAGTACCTGATATCGGCCGATTGGAACAGCTCCTCGTCAGGTCTGGCTGGGGGGTTTGGTTGGCCCGTCTCTGCGATCGGCCGTAATTAAGCTTATAGTAGGCTTGCAGCGATCAAGATTGGTTTCTTCGTGGTTGCAGAGGACGATCTACGGCCTGCGTGTTGTTCGCCGCTGCCCGTTTGTGGTCTTAGGCTCGGCGTGAATCAATACGCCCGAAGGGATCGACATGATTGATGATGGAAGGCCCCCGCCGTTGGTGCTACAATTGAGGTGAAGGAGATGAAGACTGTGCACAGAGTCGTTCGTCCAAGAACAGGCAACGATGTAGTCTGCCAAGATTCGTGATTGTATTCTAGAAAGAGATCGTTCAAGCCCAAATGGAACTCTGCATCCTCTGTAGACATGCTCCCCAAAACGCCACCCGTGTCATTGCTGCCACCGGTCGTCTCTTGGCGTAGGCTGATGTTCCCCAGGCACGAGGATGCCAACGCCTACTTTGCTCTGCGAGCCGTTGTGGCGTTTACGGAAGAGGAGTAATTCAGGTACGTATTCGCTAAGATGAATATCTCCCCAAGAACTCTCGCCGTGACTGAGTCCAGCAAATAAGCCTCGCTAACTGACTTGGTCTTTACACCACCATTCACATCATCTCGTGCTCATATCGTCGGCATCCGGTATAACATGAGCATGTCGAGGCTTCCAAAAATAACACGTTTAGAGTATGAGCAGCAGCACAGTGGAGAGAATGTATATTTGCCAGGGGGTACCCTCGTGGAGAATCAGCCGGAAGAACGGGTTCCTGGTGATCGAGATGGCCGTTCATCATCCTCAGGCTATATTGCTTCTCGCCACGGAACGTCCCATCAAATTAAGGTTGAAATGTCGACCACTCTAGACGGCCGGCCTACATTGGCTTCGACAGCGGTTCCTAGGACCGCAAGAAAGCTCCGTTCGAGCATGCATGTGCGTCCCTGGTTCCATGTCGGGAAGGTCGATCAGGAGGAGAAATGCGCTTTGCGGGGAAGAAGCTGCTTTTTAGGCCAGAGATAGCTTGGCATGGAGAGCTTGAGGAGTATTTATCGTGAAAATATCCCGCTTGGGGAAAACATCATAAGTGTCTATTCTATGATTAGTCGGCACTGATAGTTGTGAGTACTGTTGGAGTAGCGTGACGCCTTATCGAGCTCCTCTTTCATCCACACCAAGTGAGTTTCGCGATGGCATCCTAGATCGTGGAGCTCATATACTAATAAGTTAAGAAGAGAACTAGCCCTCAGGATGAAGTTTCTATCTATCGTCCTCCCTGTGCTGACCGGGGCTGTCCTTGTCACGGCACAGGCATCAGTCTGCCCTACCGTGACAAAGACGCAGCTGGCAAATCAATGCACCAAGAGATGCGGCTCTTCAGACTGCACATTCTTCTCGACGATCCAGAACCCGTGCGGATGCCCAGCAAACGTTCCCACCGCCACTCTCATCGCCCCATGCGGCGTTGATTGCCCGTACGCAGGCTGCCAGGCCGAGTTCGCGACACTGAACCAGCCCTGCCCCGTACTGCCTACCTCAACGTCCACATCCTCGACATCCAGCCGTCGCCGACCCGGTCGACCTACGCGAAGCACCAGCACTAGCACGACCACGTCGACGTCGACCAGCACAAGCAAGACCGTCGTGACCACCAGCATCGTCACGCTGCCGCCAAAGACGACGCCGCCCCCGGCGGCCATCTGCCCAACCATCACGCGGACGACACAGCCGGCGGGCTGCTCGGCAATCCGGTGCCCTGTCCCGACGTGCCTCGTGAACTCGCAGCTCTCTATCCCGTGTGGCTGCACGCCGAAGACATTGCTGTATGTGCAGGGCTGCTCGACGGCGTGTCCGGCGGCGGATTGTCTTACTCGGACGCAGACTGTCAGTGCAGTTTGCTCGGCTTGAAACGGGGTGCGTGTCGGATGATGGGAAGAGCACAAAATGGATATAAAATGAACACAGACTACTCCAAGGCCAATGAAATTGAAGTAAAATTCACGCCGGTACATGACTGCTTCTTTCGCTTTGACTGACTTGCTAAGTGAACCTGAGCCAACTTACGTCTGGGTCATGGCCCTGGATCTGACTGCTCCCTTGATGAGCGACTCAAGCCAGATGCGTGACACCGCCTGCCGAGCCTTCCCATTCGCCTTCGCTTTCTGTGAACATTCACATGTTCTCGGCTGTTTTGTGAAATACGAGGTCTGTGTTTGGATGCAACTCGCAAAAGGAGACGAAATGCCATGTGGTGTTGCTAGTTTGCTTTTGTCTGGGTGTTTCACAACCGTCCGTGTGACATCACGGATTGGGGCACTTTGACGGCTCCCGGCGGTTAGCGACGCTCCACAACAGCGACTCCATTAGACTACCAGCTCTAGTGTAACTTAGTTGACTCAACCAGCCCCAATTCCCCCTCAACTTCAAGATACCTTCTCTTCAGAAACTCTTGGATATCGTTGAGACCTAATTTTTTGGGGTTGACCGGATTTAAAGAAGACTCATCCAGCTGCTGCCTCCTGGTAGGCGAGCAGTCTTCGAGATGACGTCGAGATACAGAGTTGAGTGTGAGTAGAGTGGGATCGCAGCTTAATGCCACTTGTCAAGACTGACATTACAATGTAGATGCTCTCAAGACGCATAGGAGAGATCAATTCATAGGTAATTGACGTTCTCAATTTCTTGCGACGTCTCAATTGGCAGCGGTGGGAGAAAGCTCGAGAACACCAAGTGGTGCTGTCTCACCGCCTCTCTTTTGACATTCCTCGATCAGAGACAAAGAAGGGTCAATAGACCAACTCTTCATCCACAACACTCTCCCTGGTATTCGTTGCAGAGCATAAATATATTTAGCCAATTGAGGGTCATTGGCTAAGTCTTCGCACAGAATGGACCAAGGGCTTGTTGGCAGTGCCGTTCGTGCTCTACTCGCAGCCGCAAGGCGTATTCGAGAGCGACGGCGTCCATGTTAGTCGGATGGCTGAAGAGGCTCATCGACGCTATGCCGAGATCATGAGGGATGTTGAAGTCATGATAGACGATCACAGTAAGTCGCAAGCCTCCACTCAATGGCCAGCATCTAACTACTACCTAAGTCACTCATCAGAATGAGGGAAACCCCTTTCCTTCGAAACTGAAGCTCCTAGTGCCCACCGTTGGGCCATTCTTCACAAGACTACCCCTAGAGGCGGCATTCAAGTACCAGGATCGCAAGAGGTACATCTCGTCAAGACGCTTTGTCTCACCGTCCTTTAACGACATCCGACTGATCTTGAATTCGGCACAAATCATGGCGGTCACCACTTACAGCACACTGCAGCTCGCTACTTTCGATGGTGATGTGACGCTTTACGATGACGGACAGAGCCTAGAGCCGTCGAGCCCTGTTATACCAAGGCTTCTGGATCTCCTGAAGAAGAATGTTAAGATCGGCATCGTCACTGCCGCTGGATACACAACGGCAGACCGTTACTACGAAAGGCTACACGGACTCCTGGATGCCATGGCCGCAACCAAGGAACTCACACCGATACAGAAACAGAGCCTTGTGATCATGGGCGGCGAGGCCAACTACCTGTTCGAGTTTGACTCGACATCAGAGCACCTCCTATCCCCCGTGCCCCGCGCCCAGTGGCTCACGAGCGAGATGTCGGCATGGTCCGAGGCAGACATCGCCTCGCTGCTGGACGTGGCCGAGGCCGGGCTCCGCGACTGCATCAAGACGATGAACCTGCCGGCGACGCTGATGCGCAAGGACCGCGCGGTGGGCATCATCCCGCGGACGCCCGACATCCGCATCCCGCGCGAGAGCCTCGAGGAGACGGTGCTGGTGGTGCAGAAGATCCTGGAGCTGTCGGCGGCGGGGCGGTCGCGCCGCGTGCCCTTCTGCGCCTTCAACGGCGGGCGCGACGTCTTTGTCGACATTGGCGACAAGTCGTGGGGCGTCACCGTGTGCCAGCGCTGGTTCAGCGGCCGCGAGCACAACGGCAGCATCCGCAGCGAGAACACGCTGCACGTCGGCGACCAGTTCCTGAGCGCGGGCGCAAACGACTTCCGCGCCAGGAGCGTCGGCACCACGGCGTGGATCGCCAGCCCGGCGGAGACGGTCGAGCTGCTTGATGAGCTGGCGGACCTGATGGGCAAGAAGCTTTCGTGATGCACGGGCAAGTTGCTACATCTTTCTGGGATCGCATCGCTACGAGAGTAGTCCTTGGGAAGAGTAGCTGCGGATTGGACACTGGAGTCACGGTAGGCGTGTTTGAGCTACTACTATCTATTTGACATGCCTTCGTCAGAGAGATCCTCCTTACTATGGAGCATCTTGTGATCTGGTCTTTCTGGCTTTATGGCGATTTGGTTCACAATGGTTTACAGCAGAGCAGAACAGAGCGAACGGCGCAATCAGATTGTTAGGCGCCATAATGGGTGTCATAGATCGGTAGTCATCACTGTTTCTACCCTTAACACGTGGAAGTGACATGTTGCACAGGGAAGAGGCGTGACGGGAGGAATGACTGCCTTCTGGAACTTTCATCTCTGACTCGCGCCGCTCCCGTCCGTTCCGCCCCGGCCTGAAAACCCGCTCGGGCATCATATTAAGCATGCCACTCTCAAAGACCGTAATCTGGTGTCATAATAAATGGAATAGACTTGGCACCGGGTCGCGTTTCCAGAATGTCCGATGCTGATGACACTTGAGGAACGTACTGGTCTGTTGACATGTCGGAGTATCGAGGTCACCAAGACGAGAAAGTTCAGTACACCTCCGCCAGGATAATAAACGTTATTTCAGCGAATACCTGATTAAAGCTTCGAAGATTCTGTTTATTCCCTATAGTCTCGCTACTTTTGACAAAAGTAACAACTCCTTTGTCTGAAAAGTTATGATTCCCACTCAGAATTAACAAATATTACCCCGGCAAAGGTGTAGGTCCACAGAACCTCGCTCGTAGGGCTGAAGAGAGAAAGCCACAGCTAGACTCGCTCGGTGGGACGGCAGGCCTCGTGGATGGACACGACGTGGGTCATTTGTTTGTGTCCGAGATATTTCCAGAGGAGGAGGAGGAGGAGCACTCTGAGTAAGACGCAGGGCAGCGCATGCCTCGTTTGATTCCTTATTACCCACGGGCCTGAGGTAGAGTACCGTCTAGGTTCAGTGTCCACCTACCAGTACTGAAACTTTCCCCAATTAGGTCAGCTTTCGGCTTATACACGGTCTCTTAGTTTTGCACACTGCGTACCAGCTTGCCTACTGCCTTAACACGCCGACTTTGCACAAGACATTAAGTATAGCAGTATAATTAGTGCTACTACTCTGCTACACTTCTGCCATCATTGCCGTCTGTCTTGTTTGTCAGTTGCAATTCCTTACGTGAACAATGATAGTTGGGTCGATATCGTCCCATTCCGTCTTCATTCAGCCTCATCATATGTGTGTATGTGTACATGTAGATCACGAACTGTTGCACTTCTGGAATCAAATTGGAGTAGAAGTGTCAACTGTCTTCCCTATAGAACGTCTTCTTGATACAGTGGCCCTCGCCTCCCACAGCATTATGACCTTCGTCCTCCTCCCCGCCTGCCCTCTTACGCTTGGCACCTCGCTGCTCTTCATCGCCTGTCTTCCCTGCCAGCAGGAGCACAGCCTGTAAGAGCCGTGTGCGGAGTGACCGAACCGGTTTGGATTTGACCTCATCCCGAATAACCTGCAGTGTCGAGCCAGTCTCGGGCTCTACCCCGGGTCGTGCGAGCTTGTCAAGAAAAGCGGCTGGCACTTCTGCCATGTAGACCTGGATCGTCTCCTTGTTTTCCGTGTCGCTGAGGACTAGCCTACACTAAGGATCTCGGTCAGCATGACTTGTCCGCAGAGCTATTTTCACCATGATCATTTCTGCTGGAGGACAGGAAGATTCTGCCAGAGATGCCTACTCACAGTAAAGACCATGCTCGTTTCAAGACAAGGTTCCAGGCTCGTCAGGGGATGCCTCCGCCGCCACTCCGTACTCTGCCAGTCCCACTGCGCCTGGGCCAGCGCAATCAGCGCAGCAACGATGTAGGGATCCTGGTAGGGATCCGGCGGTGTGATACGGCGGAGCCATATGCGACGCAGTGTAGAGACGGGCGGATTTCGGCGCCTCGGCGACTCGAACCGCTTTTAACGTCGGTGATGTGGGGGCCACGGTCGAGCCACAAGACCAGGGGGAAAAGCGGCACCGTCTCTGTTGCCGGCAGCGCCTTCCTCGATACCGATGACGGTAAAGGTGGTGTCCGGGACGGGTGTGCGAGACGGTGTGGCCGACGGCGGCCAAAGAGGAGACATGGGATCGGGATACGGAAGCGTTTCCTGTCGTAGCAGAGATCAAGCGTTTCCCTGCCGGTTAAGCAATCAGCGTTGGTGAGGCCAGTAAAACAAGCAACCAAACAACAGAGCAAGCAACCAGGAAAGTAAGGTGAAGAGGGAGAAAGAAAGGAACAGAGGAGACAGAATCTTGACAGCACATATGCGTGCACACACACACACACGCACACACACCTTTCAAAGTCTGGTCGGCCATGGGCGACGATCCGGGCATCCTGGATGAGGTCCTTTGAATCAGGGTGTATGCCATAATCTGCCCACCAATCGTCACCTTCTAGTTGTTCATCATTGTCGCTGTCGCTGCTGCTGCCGCTGCCATTGCTGCTGCTTGTGGCAGAAGGAGTCAACAAGGCGCGATAGGAGAAGAAATACCGAGCTTGTAGGTGGTCGGGGTTTTGTTGCTGACTGGCAGGGACGAATGTACATCCCAGGAGCTCAAGCTGGCCGGCGGTCCAGTGCAAAGGCGGGACAAAAAGTCTTACAACAGGGTAGATTGTGCTATATATATACACATGTGAAGCAGAAGAAAAGTGGCTAGCTAAAGTGGACAAGCAAGCCAAGCTCGAGTTGAAGGCGGCGAACAAATGCTTAGAGACTACATCCTCGATCGGTTCTAGTATGGCTACCGTACTTGTTTATTTGAGCCTGATGCTTTGCCTCCTCAAATTTCTTTTTGAGTGCTGCTTCGCGACGCTTGGCATCGTCAACGAGTTTCTTAGTGAGCGTTCTCTAGCTCCTTGTCGTACTCCTTAACAAGCTCCTTGCGCTGTGCCTCAAGCTCCTTGTGCTGTGTCTCTAGATTCTTGGCGTGCTCCTCGACAAGCTCCTTGCGCCGTGTCTCTAGCTCCTTGTGCTGTGTCTCTAGATTCTTGGCGTGCTCCTCGACAAGCTCCTTGCGCCGTGTCTCTAGCTCCTTGTGCTGTGTCTCTAGATTCTTGGCGTGCTCCTCGACAAGCTCCTTGCGCCGTGTCTCTAGCTCCTTGCGCTGTGTCTCTAGATTCTTGGCGTGCTCCTCGACAAGCTCCTTGCGCCGTGTCTCTAGCTCCTTGCGCCGTGTCTCTAGCTCCTTGCGCTGTGTCTCTAGCTTCTTGGCGTGCTCCTCGCGCTCTAGCTCGGCAAGACGTTCTGCCTCTTTACGCTCCTTCCGCACCTTAGTTATGCGTTGCTCAACCTTGTGATGTCGCTGTCGTTGTGCCGCTCGTCGCTTGAAGCGTTTCTCGCGTTCTTGATCTTGCTGGACCTTCGCTTGCTGCAGCTCGAGCTGTCGTTGTTTGTCTTGAGATTTCTCTTTCTCTCGCTTCTCCGCCAACCTATTCCGGCGTATCTGACGCCGGATCATCCACGCTCGAGTGGCCATCATAACGAGTGTATCGCTTGTTATCTCAAAATCATGCTCTGTCTGATCTCGCTTGGGCCGCAAGAAAATATCCTCAAAGCTGATACGCAATGGAACACCAGACCAACTCCAGAGCGAAGGGTCTCCATCCATGTCGAGAGGCCGGTTCCTAAGATTCTTGAGCTGAATTGCTGCCTTGTTTGGGCGTCGCACCCCACGGTGCCAAAGTTCCAAATCAATAGTGCCCAAGTCGTCATTAGCAAGTTTGATGATGAGAACAACTCGAACATCGCCTCCTTTGTGATCTGGGGCTGAATTCTTGAACCACTAGTCCTTAGCCGCACGGATACACTGGAGGGATCGGGTATTGGCAGCCTCCATAACAAAAGTCGGGAAGTCGCCATCTGCAAAGCGGTAATCGGATGGAGCCAGACCATCGTCAGGTTGTTTAGCGGCGCCATTGTTATCGATTGAGTCGTACTGAGAGACTCCGACGCGGTATATCTTGCGTTTCAGGCCCATCGCGACTGCCTGATCTCTAAGATCATCAATAGCGGTTGCTTGGGCTACTTCATGTGCGCGGGCAGGCATCTTGACTAGGAGAATGCCGCTGTCTGCGCCGAAGTATGTTACGCGACCGTTGGAGCGCTCAAGCTCGCGCCTAATGCAGAAGTTCTCGAAAACTCGTTTGGAGACACCGGAAAATGCAATGTATTCGCCACCGTTATCGTCAGCGTACGATTGGACATGCTGAAATATTTTCTCCGACGCGTCGCGCTCTGGAAGTTGCGCGACGTCGTAGACTTCTGAAAACAGTGACAACAAGTTAAAACGCTATCCTACAGCTAGCGCAGGCATACAGAGGAATAGTAGGAACGCTCACCTTGCGCTTTCTGGATAGCTGACAGGGGGCCAGCCGGCACTGTGGCCACCAGGCCCTCCTGGCTCCTCCGCTGTACCTCATCACCGCTGTCAGCCATGCTGCCAGGTGTTTGTGGGTTTGTGGGTTTGTGGTGGTGTGTGGTCTGTCTTTCCGAGAAAGAATCAAAAGCGACGACGAGTTGGGGTTGGCTTCGTGGCCGACATGGCACGTGCGTTCTTCGGCTCGGAAGAATTTCAGGCCTTTGACAGTTTGGGGGTGTCGCTTTGTGCTAAAAGGTAGAGCACTTGAGACATTGCTGCACACACATAGTCTGTGCAGTGGACAAAGGAGAGCAACCTCAGGCTACAACCTTAGGTGTTTATTACCTTGCCCAAGGGTGCTGCGTGGCCAGCAGCCCCTAACTAGTCTATATATCTCTCCTCGCCCGCTCTCCGCATCCCTGCGGCTTTGCAAAACCTCCCTCTCTGCCGCAGGGAGAAGCATACGGTACATAATGATTACCGGTACCACCTTCACCAGCAAAGCCCTGTTCCTGTAGACCTTGGAAACCGCGTAACTGACTGTGGACTTAAGTGCCGGCTATCGGGAGATAATGAAGCGGTGATAGTACGTTTGATATAACTGTAACGTATTCTAGATTCTACAATTTGATGAATATTCACCGGGTAGGCCTACAAGCTGAGTGGCTGTCGCCCCCCCATCCAGCGGTGCGGGCCGGCCTACTCTCCACATAGTTCAAGGTAATGCTGATCCTTAGCTTCTTGCCAATCCGGAGAAGGTGGCTCCAGGCCCGGAGCTGTCTCTCTACAACGGATCAATCAACGTGTAGTTTTTCAAAACACTTAATATATTCATGCAACTTTCATTTGGCATATTTTCTAAATCCTCAGTGGAAGTATGAGTGCCATGACACCCTAGTGCAAGTGGGACACTGTCCAGCTGCTCTTGAGGAGCCTAAGATAGCATGGGTGGCGCTAGACGAGTCTGCACAACTGTCGACAGGTTCGCTGACCCTCATCGCACAACGTATAAGCCAGAACTCGAACGTGATGCTTTTCCCCACATTCGGTATGTTTGGGTGCTTAGCGTGTATTCGCACATGGTTTGGATGGTGTAAAGTCTTGACAACTCAATAATGTCCTTGCCTGGTAATAAGAGTTACAAATGGGCATGCGGCTATTCCTGCGAATTCGTTGGTGTACAACAGCAAAAGTGATTCGAAGACGGATTCAATATATTGTAACTAGTATATATATGCACTGAGATCGCCAAGAAAGGTTGATCGAACAAGCCAGGTCGGGCCGTCAAGCTGTGGCATCTTTACAGTGAGAAGATGGACGATATGAAATTGATTCGCTGACTCCGGTGACTTACATGTCCAGTGATGTCCAGGTTCAGCGTCCTTATAAGATCTAAAGCCAAATATTGTTAGAGCACAGTGCCATGTCAACGCCGACAAAGCACCTGTCATGCAACTAGCTTACATAACAGATTGTCTTCATCCTAGAAATGAACATGTTGACGTGCGTCGCTCTGTCAATTTAGCTTGACGACTTACGGTTCAGCCATGCGTATTGACAGGCCTGCGAGATTAGCGGCCCCGGAGTCATAGGAGCGAATGTTGTACGCTAGGAGTCGTCTCTTGTCGACTTCGAAGACGTCTCACATCTGAAAAAGGGTTTGAATCGGTTGGCAAAAAAGCCAAAGCCTCAGGCAGTACTAATCATGACTCAGCAAATCCAGTCCCCTTCTCAATCCCTTCTTTCATCCCTGTATTCCCACTACAAATCCCTCTTCGTGCCATGAGTCCTCGACAAAATCACAGCATTAATTAGTTTGCTCGCCACTGCCCGTGGTCGCCATCATTCTCACAATGTGCCAGGGAATCAAATCTCTAGAGGCTGTAGCATCTTCCAAGCTATCATGCCCTGTCCTTTTGTTCTGAATCGTTCTGTTGAGCCTCTCCAATGCCAGTGCCTTCAGCAATAGGTCTCGGCGCAGCTGTTCCCTGGGAGCGCACTGATTGTTAGTCGGTTCTCCATTGTGATCTTGCTCACGAGGGCACAATGCAATCAACCGTAGGCAAATAGTCAGAGACACCGCGTGGACGCCAAGTCGTAAGCCAGAGACGACGGCTCTTGCAGCCGGTATCCATTCGTTCTGTAGCGCGCTGCTTCGGTTCACCATTGCGACGAGCCGAGCGAGCTGCAGGACTCTACCCTTCTCAACAACCCCAAATTTCTCCGCGCTTATTAGCAGACCCTCCATCGCTGTGGCGAACACGCAGGCAGGACCCTGGGGATCATCTCTGGACCCTTGGGACGTTCTGGTCTAGCGCAAATTGCGATTGCGGAGGGAAAGCAATCTTGTTCGCAAAATGGCCGGCCAGCAAACGCGGCGCGGAGCTAGACTCGAAGCGAGCATCGCGACACACATGACCCCGAATAGCCCGGTTTCGTTGGAGATTTGGACCCTATCCGCATGTAGGGACCCCTCCTTCGACTGGGCTGGATCCCTGGATGCGCATGCCTAAATACCACAAGCGGTGGAGGAAATGTGAGATATACGTTCGTGAATACGGAAGAGCAGGCCAGTGAGGGGCCTTTGGGGCGCGAACCCTCGAGAGAAAAGCCGCGGAAAGCGATTGAAGGGTCGTCCTTTACGGCAACGCGGCTTGTCTCTGCGGGGGAGGATGATTTTCACGGTAGGTTCTCACAGGACATCACTTGCGAGTGGATGGTTATAAATCGTAATGCGCGCATTTACCTCATCGCATCCCACGAATACTACTGCGGCAGTGATTTTGCTGGCTCAAGGTACCTAGGTAGACTCGTAGAATGGCGGAACCGAGACACAGGTCGAAAGTAAGACTTGGCTTGAGAACGAGGAGCGCCACGGCCCGTCGAGCTCAGCCGTGTTTGATGGGCAGCATGGCGTGCATGGTTGGAGAAACTCGGGGTTCTCGAGCTCGGAACGAGGGTAGGTAGGTACCTTACTCAGAGGTGCAGCTGCATTTGCGCCAACCGGTTGCCAGGCCCGAGAAATGGAGAGTCGGAGAACCCAAGCTTGGGGAGAGTTGGGCATCTTGGGAAACCCTGGAGCCCGCGTGGCGAAGGGAGAGAGGGGGGCTCATCTGGGACGGATCCGCTGGGATGGGAAAAAAGACAGGCGAGCCGGACTAACAGCCGGATGCCAGAATGCTACGGCATTCTGATACTGCAGGAAGCAAATCGATGAATTGGCTGGCTGAAAAGGGGTAAAGAGGTACCGCCAACAAGAATACACCTCCGCTAGGATAATAAACGTTGTTTTAGCAAAGGGAATATACCAGAAACTCAGGGTTGGGAATACTTGATTGAGGCTTCGAAGAGTCTGTTCATTTCTATAGCCCCCCTGATCTTGACAAAAGTAGCAACTCCCTTGTCTGAAAAGTCGTGATTCCCACTTAGTATTAACAAATATTATCCTGGCGGAGGTGCAGTGAAGAAAAAGAACCATGGACAAGTTGAGACATGAGGGCCCTGAGTATGCCAATCATGTTGATCACAGGCATTCAAGCGAGGGTCTGGGTTCGAGCTTATCGATTTTCAGGGAGGCATGCCACTGGCGGACGGGCCGGTCCCTGACATGGATTTTCTCCCCAAACAAGAAACATGGACAGAGGGAACGGAACAAGGCGTGTTTCGAAAAGGACAGCCGTCTGTATCGATCTCGCCCCATTGTTGCTTGGAAAATGCCAGCTGGCCCCCTGCCTTGCTGTTACTCTGGATGTAACTGCTGCCCATCGCCTCTCTTAGGGGAAGGTACCCATACCCATACACTTGTCACTTGTCACTTCGCACTTCGCACTTCACATTTCACATTTGACACGTCCACGTATGTGTGTGTGTGTGTGTGTGCCTGCCCCAATTCTTCGCCAGGGCTGAAGAGACTATAGGCAGGTACATGTACGGTGTCCAAAATATTGGGACCTCCCGGGCCACTTTACTACCGGTACACTCCTGTGGCTTCCCAGTCTGGACATAATGAAAATGAAAGAAGGAGTGCCTCCCCATTGCGGTTTCCTTATTAGTGCTCGTAGATGTGGTACTGTTCTTGCCATTCTTGACCATCCACTCGCCCTTGACTCCTCCCCCCTTCCACCTGTTCTTGTTCTTCTCCTTTCCCCCTGATCCAACCTCCAACCTCCAACTGCCAGGACTACAGCAAAGGAGCGAGCCATATTCTACCGAAATACCACAGCATTCAGAAAGCGAGATTTGCTACTGCTGCTATCCAGAAGGACAACCAGTTCCGGAGCATTCGTACCTGAAGTGACTCCACTTCCCACGACAATTAGGCGGGCTCTCCACTCGGCGCACGCCAGCCAGACGCAGGGACAACGCAGACGGGCATCTCAACAGCAAGAGCGGTCAAAAGCCCATTCATCTCGAATCAAACAAGTGCCTCTTTCTGGAAAAGGCGGTATTCGGTATTCTGTCTGCTCATCTCGACCGACCGGCTGGCGCCCGGGGCATAACATACTGTGGGCGGGTGGGAACTTGCCGTTTGGCATTGTACTTGAGGCCTCAATTCCTTGTGAAGGCGGGCAAACGACGAACAAGCACCAGCACCAGCACCAGCAGGTTCAACGCCAGCCGTCAATTGACTGGCACAGCGTGCGGCGGCGGGCACCCTAAAGCTGCAAGACAGCCTAACTAAGCTGCGGTACCTGGCCGTTCCTAACTACCCTCGGGTACTTGGCCTGCTTTCCCCAACTCCCAAATTACCTATAGCCGGTTGTCAACTGGTCGCGTGTTCCCTTCCTGCCACCAATTACTCCAGCGCTCCCACCACGATCCACTTGCACGACGACAACACAGACCTGCCTGGTCCTGTCGGCCTTACCTCGCAGACACTTCGACTCGACCTGCATCGGTCGTGCACTCACTCGTTCTCTCGCCTGCTCCTTCAATCTTGGGACTTCTTGTTCATTTTGACATCAACGAGCACTCATCTCCAGCATTAACATCATCAGTCCTCGACCGTAAACGCGATTACACGACAGCGGCCGCACAGCTTCTCTACGCATAACGTCACCGTCGATGCTTCCCCCGCAGCGGCTGTCGTCATCTACAACTTCCCCTACCTCAACCTCAACCTCAACCTCTACCTCTACAACCACAAAAACTCCGCCCCCATGCTCGTCGCTCCTGCAATCAGCATGACGAGGCTCCCCGGCGACTCGTTCATGCCCTCGGGCGCCATAGAGAACGACTTTCACCTGTCATTCGCTGGGTTGAACGGCGGAACCACCGGCGACTCGTCCTCCTCCGTCATCTCTCCCCTATCGCTGCCTCGTGGAGCCATTCAGTATTTCGACACGCATCCTGCCGTCTCAAATCATCTGAGTGGGATGGCTTCCAATAGCCGAACGAGTAGCCGCGGTCCGCCGCAAGCACAGCCCGCCCAGTTCCTGTCACCACATCTCACACCCTTCGCATCACATTCACAATACCAGCTGCAACTGCAGCGTCAACAGCAGCGATCCGCAAGTCTGTCTCCAACCCACAGAGCCGTGAATAGCAATCGCGGGAGTGCTCTTGGTAGAACAAGATCTGCTATGCTCTCGCCGTCCAGAGTGCTATCCGCCAGCACCATGGTGCCCATTGGCGAAATACCCGGTATTGATTTGCAGGCCAGCAATAGCTACCCGCCTATCTCGGCATCCGGTGCTCACCGCTCAGTCTCGGAAACCCATCTCGCAGTCACCTCCCAGGAAGAGAAGATACGCCGGCTGGAGATGCAAAATGCGAAGATCAAGCAGGCGTGGGAAAACGAGCGAAAACAACTGCAGGCAAACCGGGACAGGGCAGAAGAGGTATATCTAGAGGAGAGAACTCTTATGGAGGAGGAGCGTGCCGAATGGGATGCAGAACGAGCTGTTCTCGAAGACGAGATTCGGAATCTCCAAGAGCAGCTTCTGGGAATCACAAACGGCATGTCTAAAATTAGATCGCCGAGAAATGGAATGGCTGCTGGCCGGAAAGTGTCCAATGGCATGAACGCTATTGGCACATTTGAGGCGGCTGGTATGAACGGCGCGATCCAGAACCACTTCAGAGGCGGGTGGGACAACTCTCCCGAGAGTGTGCGTGGTTCCGAGTCATCCCAAGGAAGTGGAAATGGTCGCACGACTCAGGCTGGCGCCTTGCAGCCCAGCGGCCATGGCTCGGCCAGAATAGGTCCTCTTGGTCAGCCAGAAATCTCTCCATTCATTCCTCTCAATCAGCATCTCACGACCGACTCCTCTTCTTTTGATTCAATGGCGGCTCCGGACCCAAAGGATGACACCCCAGTTCCAACGGTAGACATCCAGGAAATCCATCCGGAACTGGAAGGCATTCCTATTAAGCAAACAGCTATTTCCAAGTTTACTTTCAGCGACAAGCCGTCGTCAAAATCATCCAGCAGAACACCTTCTCCACCAGCTGCCGACACCAACTCGCCCCCAACCGTCCGGGCGAAGGAACAGACGCTCAAGGTGCTGGCTGCCGAGCCTTCCAGGAGGTTGACCATGCACGCTGGGCATACTCCAAATCACTCACTCTCTGTCCTACCGTCTGCCGCCGAGACTGTTGCAGGAACTACTGCTAGCAGTAGCGGCACCAATACACCAACGCTCCAAGCGGCTGTAGATGGTTCGGCCAGCGACCCTTCTGCAGGGCTAGATGAGCCAGTCGAGCCTAGGGTAACAAAAGAGACATCAGAGGATCACCCTGAACCACTCTTCGAACCGTCAGAAGACGGCGATCGGGAACTGAAAGGACCCTTGACCATCAGAAACATGCCGGCTCATGACGAGATCTTCTTCCGAAGGCTGTCCGACAAACTGGAGAGGGTCAACAGCGGAGAAGATGCTGTACCAACAGTCCTCAAACGGAGTATCGAAGGCATTGAGACCGAGGCTTCTAAGCCTGATGTTGGTGCAGGCCCGGCGAACCATGGTGGGGATGCCGCCCATGACTCTGAGGACAAGGAAAAAGACTCCGAGAAAGGAGAGAAGACTGAAGCTGAGGAGGAAATTCCACTGAAGCTCAAGAGAAGCAATAATTTCGGCGCGCCGTTTGGAGCCTTCCGGTAGACCCTTCATGACCATTGGGCCATCAGATAAACTTCCTCGTTCTCTGAAAGCCAGGCACCAACACGCAAGAACTGCTTGAATCGATCCTAGCAGTTCTCATCTTTACCAATATTCCATTTGCTTACTTACGACCACGACACTTTTCCGGTACATATATCTCATATCGATGCCCCTAGACTGGACATACATACCCTTTTCCTTTGTCATATGCCACATTCTCGGCGGAATGAGCTTTGAAATGAGCAAAAATTAGATTGGCCTGGGAAGGTTCCCTTGATGAGCGGCAGCATTTTTGTGTTAGAAAAACACCGAGGGTTATGGAATGGACGGCAGTTTCTATTTTCGGACTTACCACGTTGAATACCCCCTTTTTTATCCTTGATGTTTATGGGAGCCGCCGGGCCTTGGAGGTGACGAGACGTCACTTGGCTATGGGGCGCGGGATTGCTTGTTTGTGTTCAGATTCACTCGCTTGGCGGCGTTTTAGAGATGAATGTCGTCGTCTCGATCATACCTTGATGATCTTTGGGCGACGAGCTACTGGGTCTTTGGCTTCTTCTACCCAGTTTGTTAGGGTGATGGCCTGGATGTCAAACTCATCATTGCCTCTCTGGCTGTAGCTGTACAGTACGCGAGATACCAGATTTGCAGAAATCAAAATGGGAAGGAAGAGATAAATGACGAGGGCTTGTTAAAGATATAGCCTCAGAAGACAAAATAATTGATCCATCTCTATGGAGACTATCTCATCATCTCAAGTGTTCATCAGTCGTCACGCTCACATGATCTTGAGACTACTGCAGTCTACGACATGGTGTAATGGGATCTCCGTTCTGTTCCTGGGCCCCTTCGATGACCTCCATCAGTACCATCACATAGTAAGTAGGTGGCTTTCTTGCTCGATTGCTTATCTGCCCCAACCTGCTAGGGAAGATTCTGGATCGTGTGAATGGACGGCTTCCCAGACGTATGAGTGCACATTCGCCTGCCCGATAACAACAGCGCCTGAGGTCGATCTACACCAAATTGGAATGACCAACATCCATCTCCCGAAGCATCCCGACAAATGGCCTAGTCGGATAGCGAGCCCCCGGGATGATGACGGAGTGCGGGGAGATTCGCATTCGGTTCCCCGATTACCTGCTAGACATTGCCATTACGTACAGTCATGCACTTTCACAGTATCGGCCTGACCTACCTGCCTACCTGCTTACCGTCTACGCCGGAGTTGGACTGTGCCAAGTTCTGCCATGCTGTGACAAGACCCTAGAGGCTTCGAGGTCTTTGTAAAGCTGGAGTGGCCGGCCATGTCTCTCCATAGTGAGCATCTTGGCTGGGCCAAGCACGTCGTCTCCGCGAAGCGGATGCCAGCCGAGCCCTCGACTCCTTGATGCTAGCTGCTCCAGCATCAAGCTGGTAGGTCGGCAGGTGGGCGGATCGATGGATGGGGGGGTGCGCCAACGGCGCATGTCGAAATATCTAGCCGATCTACAGGCACAGGGGACCTTCCCTGCTTTCTACGAGCATTCATCCACGGGGGTGGCCCGGTGCACGTACGGGCTCTCGGGGGACCCAGAGAGATTTGAGATACAGATCAGATCACATCCATCAACTTACAGTAGCGTGTTGGTCTGCACATCGCCATCACCATCGTTGCAAGCGAGATCTATCTGCCTGTCTATCTGGCCTGCTAGAGCCGATGCATCCCGTCGATGGCGGGTTTTGCCTAATGGCCGTTGGTGAAGAAAGTGCTGCCCCTCGTTTCCTGGGCTGACATAGCTGGCCGTCGTGCAACGAGCAAACGGGATTCCGAATATCCACGGCCGATTATTTGCAAGCCGCAACCCAGGGTGGTTTGGCAAGGCCGGCCGCGTCTGTTTGCCGCCAAAGGCAGCTACAAGCACCCTACCAAAGCCTAAGATCTAATCTTAGTAAAGTGAAGTTCATGCCAAAAGCTACTCCTAGATAACATGAAATAGCTTTTTACAAAGCAAAGTAGCTACCAGCATACATGTAGAAATAGTGTCGCTTTAGCTTTCATATGTCTTGTGAGTGGTCTATGAGGGGTGAATGAGGCTAACCTTATTAGGGTAGGTGGCCTGTGAATTTTGTCCCTTCCTCTGAATCTCTTGGCACCAACACTCGCCACACTTGCCACACCCTGCATGTGCAGATTCGGAAAAATATTGTTGCTTCCGCTCACTGCGCCACAATCATCGCTTTTGGCTCCAGCTCCAGCGCTAATAAACATGGCTACCCTTACCTATGCTATCACCGCCTGGAAGCCGACGGCGAGTGTAACCCTGCGTATAGACCCAGCTTCCTGGATTCGAACCATTACGATGGACGCATCTACGCCGACTGACGCCCGTACGCCTGGCCCTGCGCCCGCGCCTGCGCCGGCCGAAGTCGAGCCCAGGCAAAAGCGTATTGAAACTCCTGGCGAGGCAGGTGGTGATTACCTCGCTCGCGTCAGCTTTTCGCCCTAGCACGGCGATCCGCGACCGTGTTACGATGGCAAGCCTCGGCGAAGCGCCATGCCGATCAGCGACCATCCCATCGTCGACCTCTTCGACAATGTCGAACGTGCCTCTCCCTCTACCCCTACATCCGCTATCGCCTCTGTCAATGACGATCCGGAAGAGGCTATGAAGAAGGAGACGAAGAGCATGCGCGATTCTATCATCGACATTCTCAGTGACTTCAAATGGTTCTGTCTCGCTGTTGTCCGCCTTGGGTTTCCCGGTCTCGACGACTCTCAGAATATCCCGACTGTGGCTATCATTGTACTACCAGACTCCAATGTAACTGTTGGAGAAGCTCTCGATGTCGCTTGTAAGGTTGCTGATTATGTATACCAGTAAGTCACCCCTTTGGCCCTTAGTTCCTTTCTACGACTTTTTCAAGGCTATATATTAATAGCAACAGGTTTGAGCAGCTCTACGATGTCGCTGTCGAGGTCCTCAGTATGGATATCTCCCCCCTCCACGACACGCGGGTCAGTGAATTCATGGCCGATATCAAGTACACCTTCGAGGATGCGTTTGACGACAGTCCCTCAATCGGCGTTAGCATTGAGAACCCGTCAGGTAATAGCGGCGTTGGAACTCTCGGCGGTTATCTTCGAGTCAGTGGTCGCGCTAGCGCAAGCTCGATCGACGTCCCAGATTCCAAGATCAAGTATATGGCGCTCACATGTCACCACGTTCTCACCAGTATGCCCACCCAGCAAGCTTTCCTCGCCCGGTGTAAGGTACTAACATGTAGCAGAAAACGAGGCGCCGTATGAATTCACTACCTCTGGGCAAGACATTGAGCCTTTTGTCAACTGCCCTAGTTTCGACGACTTTTGGTGCTGGCAACAAGATCTTTCGCTGTCAGACATGGAGAAAAACAAGGACTTACGCAGACTGAGAGAAATGCGCTACAAGGGGTCGCGTATGAATGCCAGACAGCAAAACATCTTGCGTTATTACGAGGCCAAGTATATCAAGACTAAGCCAATGATTGAAAAGCTCGAGAAATTCGACATTGTTCTTGGCAATGTTTATTGCAGTTCCGGTGTCGGAGCTCAAGCTGTGAGTAGTAAGCATAGTCCAGAGTCATTCAGCTTCTTGATGGACTGGGGACTGGTTGAGCTGAGTGCTTCTCGACTCGAAACCTTTACTAAGATGTCTAGCGTAAGTTATATACCAAGTTTTACAGATCTATAGGATGAATGATATCTAACATTGAGAGAATAATAGGGCTTATGTAATAGTGATTTTGACGCTTTTGCGAAAATCACCCACTACGACCGATCTCTCGTACCGCCGTGGCGCATCCAGTCTCTACAGGAGCTCAAGGAGAGTCTCAACCCTACAGCAAATCGTCAGCCGATCTGGAAGGATGTCGTGTGTAAGGTTGGCAAGAGAACGGGTAGGACTTTCGGCGTTCTCAATCAGATCCATCCTTCTATGAACGTCAGATCCTCTAGGAATGGCGAGGAAAAGAGCCGGACAGGTAGGACTGTCCTTGTCCTTGTCCCAAAGGCCGCGTTGGATGACACAAAGACCTTCGGTAGTCCTGGAGATTCTGGTAGTCTCGTTTATGACTACGAGGGTAAGATCATGGGCATCTACTTTGGTGGACAGAGATACGAGCCCTATAATCCTCCTATTGAGGTGAGCTGTGTGGATGGCTTGCACTTTGTAGCGCCTATAGCACCTACCCTCGAGAGCATCCAGGCGGTAGTGAAAACCGACCCCGCGTTCTCGGGGTACGACGTCGAGGTCGAATTTCTCTGGGCAGATGAGAACGGGTGGGATGACAACGAGTGGGATGAGAACGAGTAGAAGGCGAGTTTGTGGTTCACAATTCTCTAAGGGTTGGTGATCTTTATATTCGTCTCAGACTTGGTCGTTGATATAGGCCTTCATGTAGCATAATTCTAAACTAATCGTCTTGGCAAGATGGCCAACACCTCACCAAGCCACTGAGCTAATCCAGTATTACCAGATCGCCTGTGTGACGCTTTAAGAAATCCTCTACGCTCTCTTGCGACATGCCCTTATAGCCAGCCCATTCCATTAGATCCATCGAGTATCGCTCCTCTCCAGCCTGGTCGAAGTGCGGACCATTCCAATCCTCATCCTCTGCCCCGTCATTGCTATAATATTCTATGCGCCAACGCAGAGCCTCCTCAACACGCAGAATCGACCACAGCATAAGGCGGCAGGGCCCACCCGTTGCCTTGCCTGGGCTAGGCACGCGACAGATGCCGGGGCAGAAATAATGAGCTATACACAAAACAAGAACGCTATTCAGGCGATAAAGACTATGGAACGAGCCTCTCCCAATCGCCCGGGCGAACCAGACACCGAGAGATCCCGTCTTTGGCTGTTCAAAGAGAACTATCCCGAGCTCCCAACTCGTGCGGGATGGGATCGGCAAGGGTCCGGCCCTGTTCATCGTGCCCCCGGCGCTTCGTAGCCAGTGGCGCGACGAGCTCTGCAAGCATCTAGCCAGCGTCAGGTCATGGTCTTCCACCTCCCGAGATCATCGACATTGGCACAAAGCCAACTGCCAAGGAGAAGAAGAAGTCGCCCGCTCGTCGCTCGTGTAGTGTTCTCACAATCTGGGCCGACGACGACGCTCGGAGAAACCGACCTGAGGATTATCGAGGACCCTGTTGCACGCACTACACCATCGGCGAAGCTCGCAAACGCGTTCATCTCGGCATGTACCTCAATGACTTAGACGCGTTGGGCGAGCAATGTTCCACTGCCCCAGGATAACAAGGACCGTCGCGCCTTGGTGGCGTTTCCCATGAGCGCCAAGTGTCATCGTTCTCGACGAGATGCGCCAGGTGAAGCGTGGAGGCACGAACCTGTGTAAGTTCTGATGGTACTCGAGCACGAGGCGGACCTGCCGCTGCCGATATTTGGCCTTAGCGGTACACCCATCGGGACGAAGCCGGGAGACTAGGCCGCGAATTTTGACGCGGCTTTCTGCATCGTAGACAAGGGCAAGAGGCTCGGAGAGAAGTTCCAGGGCTGGCACTCTAATGCACTGTGGCTCCACAACCACCGGAAGCAAGCAATGCCCAAGGATGCCGCAGAGCGCAACGAGTATGACGAGAAGCTAAGAATCTACAACAACGCGAGGGTCAGCGTCGTCCGAGAGGCGGTGCCCAGCCGCGACAGCACAGATGTATGCCTCGGGCATCCTATCAGCGACCGCGAGCCCAAGCCCTACAATGTGATCCAGTGCCCGATCACCAGGAGCAATGGCGAAGCGCTGGAGAAGCTGTGGGTTGACGCCTGGGCTAAGATCTAGGAGGATCTCCGGAAGGCGGAAAAGAGCGGGCCCAAGGGCAAGCAGAAGGATGCAGTCGAGAAGCTCTGCCTTGCGATAGTGCTCGAGTCGATGAAGCCGCCGACAGGGAGCCACTGCAACATGCTGCTCTGTTCTGTGTTCCCCGGTTTGGCCCACATAGTCAACAAGGACTCCAAACTCCTTTCCAAGAACGAGATAGGAGGGATCTAAAAGCTGAACCTCTAGCACGTGCGAAGCGGTCTCCATGGTATGAGCATCGGCATATATGGATGGGGCATAGCATCAAGCTTGACAAGATGGTCGCGATAATCAAGAGGATGCGTAACGACAAGACGGTACACACTGACCTCGACCGTCCGATCCCGAAGAGATGTATCATCGTACCAGCCCATCCACTGACGGGGGTCCTGATCTTTATCGCCTAAGCGAAGCCAGCCTGGCTTGGATATGGGATAGCTCATTCAATACATGTCCTTCGCGTGGCGGCTCGTTACATGACTTCTCGAACTAGGTGTTCATCTCGTCAATTCAACATGCATATCATCTCTACAGATGGGCTATCCTTGGCGCGAGAGTATCTCGGACTTCCAAACAAGGACTCTGGTCATGATACTGAGGTAATCCTGCAGTTTGTCGTCAAACATGGGGTGTTTGTGCTGCCCGGAAATGGCAGCCGAAACAGCAACACACGTGTATGTGCTCACGTTTAGCGATAGCTGGATTGAGACTCATTTGGGGAGGTTTGGCGGGACCCGCCTGCCCCCTCCCCTTCACGTGTCGCCGAGTCCCAGCGGGTGAGCGCTGCATCGCATGCATATCACATCTTATCGCATCGTGTGACATCAGGGTCTCGGGCGGGTCTTGTCGGGGGCCTTGGGCCCCATCCCATTTGCTGCCAAGGCCGATGGAAGGCAGGACGAGGTTTCCGTGCAGCTTCTATCGCTCTGTTGCTCTAAATCTGCAGACTGCTTCCTTTCTGAGCTGGGTGTGGCTTTGTGGGCCGAGTCTCTCGCCAGGAGCCGGGTTGGGTGGCTGGCTGGCTGCGTTGAGGAGGGGAAGGGGGCGAAGATATGCAGAGATATGCAGAGATATCGCAGATCATTTGGTAGGAGGCTTACATGCCGAGACCCAAGAGATAGATAGATAGATAATGGCGAACGGACGGCGATGTTGCGCCATTTCCGGATCGGATCGGAGGGATGGCCCGGATGGAGGTAGGTGATGCATCAGATGAGATACCGGTAGACGGATTGGAGGGGTGGTTTTGGTGTGGTGTTGCAGATGGCCCAGCCTAGGCCCTTCGCCAAAAACAGCCAGGGTGCCAGTGGCCTGGTCTGTCGCTTTCGAGCGAACATCTCATCTCCCCGTCACAGCATCAGGAGACGACGAAACAAATCGCCGGCTTGGATCTGTAATCATCGCGGTGTCGATCGGAAACACGCCCGCGGATCTGCCATGGACGCTCCATTGTCGGCAGGCTGTACAATCTCATATCCAGGCTCACCGTCCAATTTTGATGTAGAAAGAACTTCCGAATTGGGTTAAGGAGGAGGAGGAGGAGGAGGAGAAGAAGGAGATGGTGGTGTCGGAGACATGAACATGGATGGATATGGGTAGAACGCGGGGGGCATAAACGTGGACATTGATGAATGTGGAAAATGGTTGAGCATGGCAGGATTTTGCAGCATGTCTCTTGATCTGTTCCGTTGTGTCCCTCCAAAAGCAGTCACAGTCATCATTCACCAGTCAGGAGGAGCCTTTGGACCGGCCGGTCGGTCGATCGCATGTGTAGTAAATAATGTAGGAGCCGAATTCAGCGCCTCGACGGCATCAACACTAGCGGCCTGTATCGAGAGAACTGAAATTCCTTTCGTGTAATTACAACAACAGCAGCAACGCCTCTATGAATGTTTACCGAAAGTTAAGGGACGTGCTCCCGTAGTGGGTTAGAAATGGTGGTGCCCGGGGCTCCTTCAGTGCAAGAATGCAAGACATGAGTGTCATTTCAGTTTACTCTACGACAAGGGCTGAAACTTGCCTGCAGGTGTATGCAGGAAGAAAAAACTTTAGACCAATTTGACAAGGAACAAATTGCAAAACAGCTGAGAGCTTGAAAGCTGTACTGGGCTCATGGTTGATGGGCTTCCTGGTTTGACATAACGAAGACTTGCGGCCCCTGGTTCCGCCTGCGTCTTAAAAGTCAAAACGCGACTTCATCACTAACAGCTATGGAACAGAAATTGAGTGTCTGTTAAAACAGCAAACCTTGACCTACCTAGCAAAGCAACAACGTTTTAGGATGTCAAACTATCTCCCCTGTCTGATGGAGTAACTTAGATGGACCTGGGGAAAGATCTGGCTGTAGTTCGTGGAGAAAGTGGTGAGGTATTCGATACTTACGCCAACTACATTTCTCCAAATCTTGAGATGACATTGGGGTGTGAATGCATGAAAATACAAAGGGCTGTTTCGAAAAGGGGAGCCGCCGTGTATGAGGCATTTTCCAGCCCTTGGAATAGCATTCACACGTACGTACTTGGCTGACCCGGCTGGAAGCGACATGCGGTTTGATGGAACCTCTTGACCTCAGACCATTTCTCGGGGTTATGAGGGTAGCGAAGCACGCTCATTTGTTGCACAAAGCGTGGACAGACGGCCGCGAAAAAAATCTGCCGTGCAACAAGAATCGGGGCTTTCTCCCCCAGAGAGAGGCTGCATATGAATCTGCGCGTGTGATGGGTTGGCTGTGGACGGGAACCGTGACGGAAACGGTAGCTGGTCACGCGTAGGGACGGCACCTGTTTCTGTGCTTACGCCGTGGACAGTTACACACTGTCGAAAAAGTTCTTCATGCTTGTTCTCCCTGACAGCCAGCAATAGTTACTGCAGGTGAGAAATGAGCATGATCCGCACCTGCACTGTACTGTATGTAGGCTGGCCAGAGGCGAGATGCAGGTGGGAAATTTGCAGAAGGGCTGCTTCTCCACGAGAGCAACTCACCGCCACTCCACCGTCAGTGTAATTGCGGCTCAATTTGGTGAGCCGTCAGCGTCTCATTCGCTGAAGTCCAGAGGCAAAGGGTATTTCACACAGTGAGATTCAAGATGAGTCGCCCGGCGCCCCGTCAGCGTCAGGGCGGCGGCTTCCCTCACCGGATACACAGTATGAATTTGGATATCTGCAGTCGAAACGCAAAGTTGAAGTACGTGTAACCAGTCAATGTCCGGAGGAGGTGGTATCTTCAAAGACACGGACCCAAAATTGAGGCCGGCGAGGTGCAAGAGGCAAGGAAGCCCTGGAAGTAGCTCCGAGAATAGAGAGGTGAGGCGGGAAGAGACAAGTAGTAAGACTCAAAAATTATACAGCAGTTGTGTTGCTGAGTCCCAAGAGTGAGTCTCATCAAAGAGGCTGCCATTGAAGGAGCAGGTAACACAAGAACGTAAGAGACTGCGGGGGCGGTAAGACTGGCAGGAACGCCGTCTCAATCAAGAGAAAGCATTCAGCCTTTTCCAGCCCTTGATCCTGTCGCTCCTACCTCTTTGGATTGATCTGGGCCTGCCTTGCTGGGAAGGCTCGCAGTCTGAGGAGCCAAGAGCAACTCGATTAGGTATACGTGCTGAGGAAGGCGCGAAGCAACAAGCTTTTCTGTCAAGCCAACAGCTAACGTTAACTGTCGACACGACCCATGAGAGCGCTACTGTTCACATCTCGGTTGCCAAGTGCGTCAATCGGTTAGACCACACTCGGTCTCGGTGGACCAAACCTCACCGTTTACTCGCAGGCTAATGCAGGAGAGAGATTCTACCACGCGGTATGCAGCTCCTGGGTCACGAGTTACAATCTGCACGGTTTTGTTATTGCATCAAGAGTTGTATGGTATTTATTCATGCATAAAGTGCCTGCTTTGGGACGCCTGCAGAGACCCATTCGTCGGAAGCGAGCCATTCAGGACACATCTCGGGCCCCGTGAGCGTGGGGGACACATCCAGCCGACCGAATCGACCGATGGCCGAAAATATTGCGGAGCGCCTGTGAAACAAGATCGGATGCTGGAAGAGCCGTCCGTCGTGCAATGCACCAATCTCCGGATTTCCGCTTTCGACACTGCCGCTTGGCCTTCGAAGAGTCGCGAGATTCCTGAATAGAAGGGCCTCGAGACTGCGATCTATCAGATGGTCTCAAACGGCATCGCTATGAGATGAGGTGGGCGTGTAAATGAAGTGACATTGGATCGCGTTCGGTCTCGGTCATCATCAGCTCGTCAGCAGTTGTATTTCTATCAGGTCGGGAGGACTTCGGCTTGGGGGTGGTGCGGCGCGGTGTCGTCATTACGATTGACACCCGCATTGACTTGGCAAATGCTGAGCGACCAGTACCTGGCATATCAAGAGGAACAGTACATTCAACTTTTCTCCAGTAAATATCAAATGTACCGTGTTAAACGTGCGAAAAGCGCAAAAGCTCGATGAGCCTGCGTCTATGCCTGCGATCATTTCGCATTTCGGCATACCTACCTGGTAAAAGACGCAAGGACCAATGGCAATCGACTTGAGCGCTGGAGCGAACCCTGGTTACCCTGGTTGATAGATGTCTTGCAGATTGTGGAGCACAGGGTCTCTTAATGCCAAGTCACCGAGGCAGTTGAGAGCGAGAGCCCACCCAAAGGGTCAATTCTGAACAAAATCGGATTGCTCGTTTTCTGAACGACGTCCTGCGGCGCCTAGCCGGTTAGCCTGGCTTAACGATTCATTCTAGGGCGTGGGGCCGACCACCCGAGTCGCGTAGCCGTGCTTCACCGCAGTTCTGGTGATGGTCAAGCATCGCGGCAAAACGAGGCGGCGGTAAATGATACGTTTAGATGCTGTCTTCTCCGTCAGGTGCAATCTCGGACAATTCCGCACTTCGCGAGTACTCAGCGACTCCGTCGTGCATCTGAATAACGCTCACAAGTGACCTGATCTACACGCCTTGCCAGTGCAATATGGATAAGACAATCTCCTTGGCCAGCCAACAAAGGGACGTCATCCGCATGCGAGGGAGACTGGAACATGATGGCCTTCAAACCCACGGATGCAACGTCTTAACGGCCCGTGAGCGGTGCACGGGGAATGCAATTCAATTCGGCCAAATCTTGACCGTGAAAGATAACGGGTAATGGCAATGCCAGGCTATGATGCAATTGCGTTGCTCCTCCAAACAGCATGTCTCGTGCCTTCTCACCCTTCCCCCCGTGTATTTTGTCAGCGCAGCTAACAGTTAACCTAACGAGACCAGATTCATTGTGGAGGGATGGGAGTTCACCCCACTTTCTTGGAGAGATGACGTTGGTTGTGATCCGTAAGTGCGCCCCAAGCTGGATCTGGTAAGATATTCGAGGTATCCGGTACTTGTCATGCAAGCCGCTTTACGCGCTTCAATGGTACGCAGCACAGTCCAGGTCTGTCCCAGGTCACTCTAACGGGGGTTCGGCCTTTCGCGTCTTCTTCAGCGCCGTCTCACAGCCCAGAACCGCAGCTGAAACTTGCTGGATGTGCCACGCGCCGGTGCTGGAGGGGATTGGAATGCGCAAGGCATGGCTAATTGATTACCTAGGTACTACTGATCTTCGCCTTACCAGTGGATGCTAAGATGACTCGGCCACAGGCAGCCTGACGCCCAGGGCTCGTGTATGTCTTCCATTTCTCGTACTGTATCGCGGGGATGGAATGTCGTGCTCGTGATGGTTGTTGTGCGCGAAATAGCCGATTCTGCTATTCTCGTCAGCAGGAAAAAACGATATTCTTGTAAAAATCTCTGGGCGTTGGGCTGGGCCGTGAGACGATGACAATCAGGCAGGTCAATATCTAGGAAACTACGCCAGGGCCCTTGGCACCAACAGGTCCCTTCAACCGGTGATTGATGCCGCTGCTGAAATGTTCATGCAGGACAAGAACGACAAGACATTCGAAATCGATCGTGCTTTGTGCATCTTACACTGTCTCACTGTCTCTCCATCCGAAACGGGCGTCTGTCGCTCGACAGGACTGGAGACCACACAACCTTGAAATCATCCTCTTCATTCCGTCGTCATTTTTGTGTGCCTCGAGATCCGCCTTCGGTAATCGGTCGGCCGTTCACTACAATGCCCGCCTCCAACAAGCACGACACTCTTGCCTCATTGCGGGCGGTTTTCTAGAAGAGAGGACCGCATGGAGCGAGCCGACTCTCCCGTTACCGGCCAATGACAGGCTCGGAGTTGGACTTGTCTTGTGTGTCGCTATTATTAACGGCGACACTGGAGCCTTCTGATACGGTAGGATGCAGCGGGGCTCCTGGCTCTGGTGGTGGATATGCTCCGCAAGAACCGCCGGTGGCATCATACCTTACCTTACCACAGTTAGGTCGGGTCCCCTAGCCCACGCGAAATACTGCTGATAGCGGCGCGATGGTCCATACGGAAGATGGTATTAGTGGGCTGCTGGCCCTGCATGCCAGCCAGCAGAGACACCAGAGTCAAAAATAACGCACCCAACAAGATGCGGTAGACGAGACTGCAATTACCGGTCGGTGGGAACTGCGAGCGAGCGAGCGAGGAGACGGATTCCCGACCAAAATACAAACCAAGACGGAGCCAAGGATCCAGATAAAGTCATTGTCATTTTGGCAGAAACAGTTTGCCTTGTTCCAGGCGCCCTGGGGCCACAAAGCTGCTCGGAAGTTAGGTGGTTCCAGGGCAGTCAATCACCAGGCTGGCATTACTGGAGATGATATATGTCCCAGATCAGACCGTTTCTTATCTGACTTTTCTGCCACGAAAGCGACCTTGTTGCTGTCCAGGCTCTGAGTGAATCATCAAGAAGCCTTCTGCAGGTCAGTGCCATTGAAGTCTACAGTTTTTTCCCGAGGAGGCGTCCTTAGTGACGAGGGGTATGAGCGACAAGAGTTTCTAGATGAAAAATGACGGCTTTATTACCCTTCGAAGCAGCCCTGGGAAATACGGCAGTTTGGATTCTTGATGGGAAAAAGTCCAAGGGCTTATTTCCAGCCATTGCTCGCACGTCCCCCCTTAAAACGCCTCCCCCATTGTCGCTCCTCATGTTTTAATAATGCGTCTGATCTAATACAGGCTTGATCGGCCAATAGCAACCGCCTCGCTCAAGCACCAGAAACGTGATGTAGCCGCTACTTTCCCCGACAACGAGCGAAACTGATTCAGACACCACAGTGTGCCCGATACAGTTTTGGGTGAAAGAAGCGCTGACCTCCCTGCACACTCACTTAAACCATTCACTAAGGCGAGAAAATATCCGAGTCCACCTCTACTGCATAGTAGAGAGCAGAGAAGACAGGCATGACAGGGGGGGTGGCATTTTCAGCGAAAGAGAGACAGAGAGAGGAGACGCCACCAGGGTCGCTCATTCCCTGGTCTGGCTAACGTTATAGCGAGAACTGGAGCAGCATTGCCGTACTGAGCCGTACTGTGTGCTGTACGTGTATTCTTGCCTGCGCACTTGCAGCGAGGGCCCCCAGCCAGTCAAGCACAAACGTCGCTAATCCCATGGTCCCCCCCATCCATTGCATCAACCACCTCGATCGCCCCGCCTTCTTGGTCCCTGCAAGTCAAGCCTCGATAGAGTAAAAGCCGGTGGGCACACTGTGGGCTGTACCTACCTACCTGCCTACTTACCTGGGTAGCGTAGCGTAGCGTAGTGTAGTGCGAAGTGGATGGTGGGTGAGGCAGTATTGAATGATTGCCTGTCCTGTAGCTACCGTATCCGACGCTTGGTCTTGCGGGCCATATCTTAGCCACACTGTAATACGGCAGGTACTGCGTGTGCAAGGAGGGCGTGAAGGAGAACGAGAGGCAGTGCGAGAAAGAAGAGAAGAAGCAGAAACAAGAGGGAGAAGGAGCAGCAGGAGAGGAGGAGGATTGGGAAAGCTTTTGCCGTTTCCACGGTTCATCCATTTCCATCCATTCACAGTCTGCATTTTGACCCTGGATCTGCTGTACTCTGCACTTCGCTTCTTAGAGAGCCGGGTGAAGACGGTATTCTGGACTGTTCAGTTCGTTCAAGGTTGAGTCCTTGAGTCTACTTACCTACCCGACTTGGGTACACTTCACTTTATTTTTCACTGTGCAGCAAATGGTTCAGAGTACCTACTTCCTCCTACCTGGATATCTAGTGTACAAGCAGGAGGCGGCGCCTTGGGCCCTGGCTGCTCCTTGCTGGATACTGGATACTGGATAACGCACGCACTGGAGAGTGGATGGGTGGATGGATGGATGGATGCTTGGATGCTTGGATACCCACACTCCTCCTCCCCCAGGTTGCAGGTTGCAGGCTGCAGGGTTGAAGGGTGCTGCATGTTGGATGGATGCGAGACTTTCATTCCGGTACGGTATGAGGGTATCTACCTACTGCATAGGAGATACTGTCGAACTCTTCGAGTGTACCTATTGCTGTAGGTGTCAGAGTACATAGTAGGCGGTACCTCTCTTGCTGCCGTTGGGGCCTCAGTATCCGAGGTATCTATCTTTATCTCCATTTGCCATTTCGCGCCTGCCCCCAATAACGATAAACACACCCGATTTCCCACTCTGAAGCCGCCGGCGCGAATTCGTTGCGTCTCGCTCCTGCTTTTCTTGCTTGGTCTGGTTCTGGTCTGGTAACTGCTTTAACTGGATGTTTGGGCTTGCGTCTTAAATGTGCCCTTACAGCCTCCTTCCTGCCTTTTTTTTAACTCTCTCTCTCCCACAGAAAAAAGAATACTTACCTACTTACATAACTCTCTTGCATCCTCCTCCCCACGCACCACGCACGCACGCACATCCCTCACCAACTTACCTACCACTTAACTTACCTCTCTCACTTCCTTGCCTTGCCTTGCCTTGACTTGACTTGACCGACCAACTTACCCGGAGATCTTCTCAATCTATTATGGCCTTATAGCCGGACCGGCCCCTCGGGCGTCTCGTCAAGTCAATTGTCAATTGCAGCTCTCTCTTCTCTTCTCCTCTCGTGTCCTCTCCTCTCCCGCATTTCTTCCTGCTCTTGGCCTTCATTTCGGTGTAGATCTCGCACCGTTTTCGTACCTCATCAAAGGCGCCACGCCTGCTGGCCAGGGCGACACAAATCTCTCTGCACCGAGACCTCTAGGCCTTGGCACCTGAACATCGCTCTCTCCCCTGTTGCACCGTCTCAGACCCGCGACCCGCCTACCTAAGCCTACCTGCCTCCCTCAAAGAACCGACTGGAGTCCAAAACATATAAGAGGAATCCACAGCCCGCCCACCCCGCGTCGTGGTTGCTGCTGGCCCCTCTGATTTTGCACGCAATCGAGCTGCGAGCATACTGCAGGACACACTTGCACCAGCCGGGAACCACCATCAGCTTCATTGCTGCTGCTGTCGTGTCCGCGCACTGGAGGGTAGGGTAGTGTATTTTACGTGGTGTTTGGCCGCCCGGCGTCAGAGCCAGTCCAGCTGCTGGGAAGGGGTGCCTCGGGGTGTGTATCTGTGTGGCCAACAATCCGAGACGAGAGAGAGAGCAAAGTGGTGCGCAGGTAGCTGCTACTGGTCGGCGTGCCCGATCAGCAGGCCCTGTTTTCTGCGTCTCGTTCGTTGGTCATCAGTCGCCTTCCAGCCGGCCCTGACGTCTTAGTCTCCCTAGCACTGGGGTGACTCGCAAAACACCACTAAAATTCCAGCACACCCTCCTGCCCCGACTCAGCAACAATGGCGGTCTCGGCGGTGCTAGCCCCTGCGGTTACTCAAACCTCGACTCTAGGTATCTTCACTCTCTTTAACCTGAGCCACCCACGGCTTCATAAGCAAGCAGACGACTCAACTCGTATAATTACTCTAGAGAAACCTCCCTCCCACGGCGACTCTAGCCTGTCCTCCTCCCCCCGCCAGTATCCCACCGAACTGTCAGACCCCATCCTCGAAGAGGGCGATGAGTCGGAGAGCGAGAACCCGAACGAACCCGTCACCCCCGTGAGCGGCCGGCAGTCGCAAGACTTCCACAACATCCAAAATCACGAGATTCCAATTGCCGCCGATAATTCCGCCGCCGCCGCCGCCGCTGCTGCTGCTTTCAATTCCATACGTCACGACAACGCGACTACTCCCAAGCCTCCACTGATTCTCAACACGGCTGCCACCCCGCCGCCTAGCACCCCGGACGCGGCCTCGAACCAGCAGTTCAGCCCACCGGCCACCGCAGGTGGTCAAGAACCCGCTCCCAGTCCCCTACAGCGACGCTCCACCCGTGGGTCGACCACAAGCTTTAAGCGCACAATGTCCAGCATATTCAAGCGCAGCAACTCCGCGTCCAACAACCAGCAGCCATTCGGATTGACCGATGCAGCCTCGGAGACAACCCTCGCAGAGAACGATCATCGCAAGCCACCTACCCGGCGATGGTCTATGAACCGATCGTCGGCCACAACACGCTCCAACACACCACCCTCACCCGGATCCCCTATCCTCGAGATGGCTCCTCCACACAAGCAGCCAGAACTGCCCATGCCGAGCAGCGATGACTTCATCAAGAAGAAGAACAGAGCCTCGACCGGCCTCAGCCTGCGTTCTCGGGCCGTCAACTTCGTTAGCTCAAAGAATGGACTCCAGAAAGAGCAGAAGGAGCGACCTGGAGACAGGCTTGCGAGGAGACGGGCTAGCAGTTTCGACTACAGCAAGACCAACATGCACATCCACTACGACCCAGAGAACCCGACCGCCCCACATGGCCATCAGCGACAGATTCTCTACATGGCTGCGGATGCTGGGGTTGGAGTCAAGGCACGTCGTCTGAGTCTGAGCCTGCCTGATGACTATGCTGTTGACATTGCCGAACTACAGCATGAGTACGAATATCAGCACAAGTTCATTCCTCGCCACCGAAAGCATCTCGGCAAAGGAGCCACGTCAAAGGTGCAGTTGATGAGCCGCAAGGGCAACCCAGAAGAGCTGTATGCTGTCAAAGAGTTCCGTGGCAAGTCATCATCAGAGACACAGGACGAGTACGATAAGAAGGTGAAGTCGGAATACAGCATCGCCAAGAGTCTTCACCACCCAAATATTGTCGAGACTATTCGCCTCTGCACAGACCACGGACGATGGAACCATGTCATGGAGTACTGTGGAGAGGGTGATCTGTTCAGCCTTGTCCAGCAAGGATATCTCAAGAAGGAAGACCGACAAATGGATCGCCTTTGCCTGTTCAAGCAGCTCATCCAGGGACTGAACTATCTTCACAGCAATGGCATTGCCCATCGAGACATCAAGCTGGAGAATCTTCTCATCACGAAGGAGAGCAAACTCAAGATCACCGACTTCGGCGTATCTGAGGTGTTCAGTGGTATCCACCCCGGCCTGCGGGAAGCAGGTGGCCAATGCGGTGTCAATATGGGTGAGATCCGCCTATGCTCACCTGGTATCTGTGGTAGCGAGCCCTACATTGCTCCCGAGGTTCTCAGCAAGGAAGCGCCATACGATCCCCGAGCCCTCGATGTCTGGAGCGCTGCTGTGGTCATGATCAACCTGATCTTCGGCGCCCCCATCTGGGAGCGAGCAGTGATCGACGCCAAGACCAGCAAGCCATACCTGGACTTGGTCAAGGGTTGGAACAAGTGGAACAACAAGCATCCCGACCCTGAGGAGCAAGTCATTACAGAGTCTGACTACCCGTATTTCGAGGCATTTGATGTCTTTGTGTCACCACCCGCCCTTCGCCGTGTTCTTCTGCAGATGCTCAACCCCGATCCCAAGCGCCGAGTGGGCATCAACGACGTTATCAACAACAGATGGGTCAAGAATATCGAATGCTGCCAGTTAGAAAGCTACGATGACCCGGCGTTGAGCATTGATGCTTCCAAGAAATGCAGCATCAAATTAAATGGCACAAAGAAGATCTTCTGTCACAGTCACGTTCCCCTAAAGAGTCACGGGCACACATTAGGCCGCATGCCGGGCCAAGCAGGCTATTGAGAAGGAAGAATGAATACAGTATATAATCATGCAGCCGATTCTATGCACTAACTAGACGGCATGCTTCTTGCACACATTTTCATACAAGTCGGAGTAGGCACTCTGAAGCATGAGGAACAGGCGTTTTACTAGGGAGCTTCTGGTTTCTGGCTCACCTTTTTGGCAGGATTGGCCTCACATGCAGGCTTTCAAATACGAGTTTCATTTGTTTTATCACTCTTGGTGCACACTGAAAGATCTAATTGATGCAATGGATGTGGTGTTGATGTCAACGTGGCCATGTCTAAGGACCACTAGCATGTGTCTGCCACTTGATGCTATTTCCCTAGTCACACATCCCGAAGTCATGTTCTAATCATGTACAATGCTAGGCGGTCTAAGCCCACTTACCTTGCCTAGGTATATATATTCTGATCGATCCCCAATGCGGGATGGTCCTGGGAGGGAATGTCTGATACAAAAGTTCATTCGGCAAGCAGCCTTTGGAGCGCTGTCTTTGCCCGCATATTGGAAGAGCAGAAGTGCTTTCAAATCACACAGAGAAACTCTGACTCGGCTGAGGATGGATGCCGATCATGTTCTGTCTGTCTGTTCGTCTAATCTACCTCACATCGACCGATATGAGAGCCCTCTTTTTTTTCGACGAGCTGGCAAGAGACATTACATAACATACTCCCATGCCTGCCTCCGTCGTTAGTAACATCAAAAGACAAAAATCAATAGATCACAATCACTATACTATACTATGCTTTACTTGTCCCTGTGTTGTCTCGTCTTGCGATCTCATGTCAGACTTGCTGTGTACTCCTTTGCTAGGGTAATGAATGCTAGTTTGCCAATGGTATCACTACCTCAACAAGGTATTACCACCTTTGTAGAAGTTGATAGATCTATAGCAACAAAAGGAATATTTGAGGGCTTGGTGAGCATTACGACTCTGGGTATTGAATATCTTTACCCCTTATGAATTAACGTTTACTACCCTGGCAGAGGAGTACTACCTGGCTGAGACACCTCGGCCTTCCTACTCTTCCACCTCCCAAGCCACCCGTGATTATGTACGTACGAGAGTGACATGTATGTATGTATGTATGTCTTGGCACTTTCGGATCGGCAGGACGCGCAATGACGCCCGTTGACAGCACAGCGGCTGTCGGGCCAAGAATTTTGTCACGGACGAGGGATGAAATTTCAATATACGTGGGTTTGGCGCCAAGGAACGGCAGATATGTGATGAACGAACGGATGGACTCGGGAGACGGACGGGCGGTGCTGGCGGTCCGTTTTGTGACTGACTGACTGACTGGCTGGCTGACATGGACGGCTTACAGATCCCATTCACATTTATGGACTGGACAACAGCAAGACACGCACATCTAGATGGGCGTTGACGCTGGACACAGCAACGAGGACGGGGTAATGTGCCATGACACTGACGAGGTACACCACGCAAGCCAGCCAGCTATCCAGCAGCTCTCTTTGACACTCCCCCGCCGCTGTCCCCGTCCGCGTGGGCCGCAAGCCGCAAGCCGCAGGCACCTCGCTCGCCCCTCACACCAGAGAAACAAGAAAACCTCCCGCTCGCTCCCTCGGAGACGGGCAATGGATGGATCAATTATGCCACCACCCCGCGTAACGGAAGCAACTGTGCCAAGACCAGCGAATCGGAGGCTCTAGATGCCGCGATCCTGCGGCCCACGCGTGGTCCGTCCTGTGGGACAAGCTGCAGGACAGGAGGGCTTGAGGGGCAGAAGTCTCGACGGTTTCGAATGGCTGGTTGGACGGGGACTTTCTCACCGTCTTTTTTTCTGGGGAGCCGGTGAGCAGCGTGGGGAACGTGCATGTCTGTTTCAATGCGCCGGGATGGATGGATGGTCAGGGAATTTTTCCTGATTGATGGGCTACAATGGACCTCGCACTTTTTGGGAAATGGCTCAGCGGTGATGTTGCTGTTGCTGGCCGTTTCGATTCTATTTCGTGTTGCAGACTTTGGTAGACTTGGCAGGAGAAATCCGAAATCCGTCCCAATGCCAATGCCAATGCCAATGCTGCGTCTACAGTATCGAATGCGGATCGACACCAAGTGCCGCGTCACCGGGAGTTGAGCAGCCCTCGGCAGCCTTCCCATGTCTTGTCTTTTTGGCTGGGCAGGCGATCATCTCTGCTTGGCACATTGGCACATTGGCACAGGCTGGCTTCGCTGCGCCAGGCTTACACATTAACGGGCGGGAAACGGCCTGTAGGAGGCGCAGATCGTCATCCGCAAATCTCTCATTCATTCAGCCCTTGATCCCAGCCTGGAGAAAACGGAACATAATGTACATGCCCTGCCCTCCCTGCACCGCACTGACTGCAGCTAGCTTAGCAGACGTGCTGCGCGCGCAGCGTGGGGGCGGCATGTCTTTGATTTTCTGGAGGAGACGGGGAGGGGTTGATGTCCAATGCTTGTCTCTCGAGCATTGCTTTTTCCTGTCTTTTTTGGTTTGGGTCGCTGGCAGTCCGATGTCGTGTGCTCGTTGCTGCTGCTGCTACTGCTGCTGCTGGTGCGTTGTCGTATGCTCACCGAGCCTCGGATCCGGCAGTTCGAGCCTGCAAGTTCCTCTCACGGCTTAGGGCTGCCGTGGTCGGGCAGGACCCCGGGGAGAAACGGTCTTCTTCCCCGCTGGAGCCATGTTTCAGAGATGACTGTGCCGATGTAAAGGAACGCCAGGACAGCCGAGTGGTTGGCTTGTCTCGTTGAATGTTTGACTGTATCCGCTATCCGCCAGGGGCTGACGGGCCGCTCGAGATGGCACACGCCAGGGTGGGACAGGAACGGACAAGACGCTGGGCAGGGCCGATGTCTTGGCCTTGGCACGCGACCGCTGCTGTGCTACCTGTCTGGGTACTGGCTGTGTGATACAAAGTCCCGTTTTCCGTCTTGTGTTTCCCCCGTTTCGAGCAGTTGTAGTTGGTACTTTGCGTGTTGTGGACGTGGAGAAATGTCGTGTAACAGGAACTCGAAATTCCTGCATTGATGTACTCCTCCGCCTGGGTAGTAAACGTTAGTTCAGCCAGGATGTTATCACCCCGAAACGAGGGATTACTACTGTGATAGAAGTTGGCAGACGTATAGTAATGAACAGATCTTTGAGATCTTGTTGAGTATCATGATTCTACCCTGGCGGAGGAGTATACGAGTTGGACGGTTGAGTTACATCTTTCCCCTGTTTGACCCCTTTTGGATCCTGGAAAGGGGGTTGAGTAGCTGCAAATCCACGGTGAGCACGAAGAAGAGTTGAATGGTTGCTTGATATGGCGGTAAGTAAAGCCAAGGGGCCATGTAGCCAATGTAGAATGCTGTCTATCAACGTGATAGAATATGCTACTGGCTGGCTTAGAAATTGCCTCCTACTGCTCAATAGAATGCAGGATTCAAGCCTCGAGTCCCTGACATCATGATGTAGAGAGAACTGGAGCAGTCTGATAATCCCGTATCTGCCCAGGCACAAATTGGAGAGAAGAAGGCAAGATTGCAACGCCCTGTGTGACTTGTTGTTGAGAGCCAAAGATCGAGTATTGTCATGTGTTGTCAATACCGTGTGCTCAGCTGGGCTCACGTTCCAACAGAAGTCGCTTGACTTCTTTGAAGCGCTCTTTGCTTGGTTGTTCGGCGTCAGCTAACGGAGTTCTACTATTCCAGTCCTTGGAGTTACGGTCGCTCCCCTTTCAACGAGCATTCTGGCTGACCGAGACTGCCCCAACCTGCACGCCATCGAAAGCGGCGTTGCATAATACTTTGTATCTTGCACTTCGATGTCTGCTCCAGCTTCTAGCAACGCACTGACTAGCTTGTGATCTCCAACTTCAACAGCTCTATGCAATGGGCTCAGTCCATAGCAATCGTTCTTCGAATCCAGGTTGGCCCCATTTTGAATCAGAGCCAATATCAAGTCAAACGACACCCTCTTCGAGATCGAAAAACTCAGAACACTCTAATAGGACTAGGGCGTGTCGTGATTTCGTACTATAACATTCGGGTCCGCGTCACCAGTAACCAATGCTGACATGGTACCCTGATTTCCCGCTTCAGTAGCATAGACGAAGGGCGATTTGTCTAGATCGTCCAATAGGTCTACCTCACAGTGCCCGAGCAGGAGATTCACGGCGTTCAAGTCCTCGCTCTTGGCTGCCTCATGTATGGGTAATTGGTTTGACGCGCACCCGGCGAGGCCACGTCTGCGGCGGCCGCATATTTGACGAGTAGTTCAAGTGCTCTCACGTTATTTTCTGATGTTGCCCTATACAACATTGTCGTGTTCGTGTAGTTCATGTAATTTACCTTTGCTCCCTGTTCCAGCAGATATTCCATTGCTTTGTAGTCCTTGTTTGTCAAAGCTAGCTCGATAGGCATCGGGCTGTCCTGGGGGTAGGTAGGCCTGATATCTGGATCCGCGCCCAATTGCAACAAGACCTTTAAGGCCTTCTGGACTTTGCTCGACTTTCCCTGTTCAACGACTCGATACAGAGCCGTCTTATTGTAATAACTGTCGCCTGCGTTAACAGCGTCGGCTGGGCCGAGTTCTGGCATGATGCTCAGAAGCTCGGCTGAGCTACTGGTGGTTTGGCACTTCTCGGCCATATTCATCAGAGGCGTCCGGTCATCATACCAGGCATCGAGGTTGGCACCAGCAAATATGAGGTATTTCATGATCTCTTCACATCGCCGATTCTTGCTTGCATCTTGCTAATACCTGTAGTATGACAATGCGTCAAGCAACGGGCTGAAAGTCGTCGAGGCGCTGTCTCCATGAGGATTGACCCTTTCTAGTAACAGCTTCTTCACTTCGTGGTCTCTGAAAGACTCAATGGCCCTATAAAGCCTGTCGTTTAAGTCACGGTCGGTTTTATAAGACTCATTCGTCGGCAACCGTAGCTTGTCTAGCAGTCCTCTGTTGCCAGGACTATCACAAACCATCACACGAGCAGGGTAGGATGGTACCGGCACCTCACTGATGTTC